TTAAATAAATAAATAACAAATACACCACCACCTCTTCAACATGGAAACACTTCCCTTGCCGTTTTCCTCATGCCCTGTGTGGCCCATACATTTTTTTGTTTTTACGAATTATTTATTTTATTTTTTTAAAGATTTACTTTTATTATGTTTTTCATTGGAAAGGCGGATATACAGAGAGGAGAGACAGAGAGGAAGATCTTCCGTCCAATGATTCACTCCCCAAGTGAGCACAACGGCCGATGCTATGCCGATCCGAAGCCAGGAGCCTCTTCCGGGTCTCCCACTGCGCGCAGGGTCCCAAAGCTTTGGGCCGTCCTCGACTGCTTTCCTGGGCCACAGGCAGGGAGCTGGAAGGGAAGCGGGGCTGCCGGGATTAGAACCTGCGCCCATATGGGATCCCGGGTGTGCAAGGCGAGGACCTTAACCACTGCGCCACCGCGCCGGGCCCTTTACGAATTATTTATAAGACAGTTATAAAGACACACTATGTCACAAACTTGTCCTCCACCCCCGCCTCTTAAACATCATGCTGAATTCCAATTTTGTTATACAGGAGATCCCAAATCCCCCACCCCCTTGCTCTTAGCCCTGCCCCATCCCATCCTAAGGTCTGAGCCACACCTAAATTCTCCAGGACTACATGTAGCTGCTGGAACCCGTCCTGCGTGGCATGCCCAGACCTTTCCCAAAGTGTCAGGGCAGGAGCCCTCAGAAAGGGCAATAGCTGAGGCTTCTGCCTTTCTCAACCAGCTGCATGGGGTGGGAGGCAGCAGTATGCCGCCAAGCCCTTTGCCTCCCCAACATACAACATGTTCCAGCTACCCAGCCTCCTGTTCAGGCTTCCTTGTACACTTCAGAATGCTCCAGTACACCTGGAACTTATCCCCTGGGGCTGTGCACACAGCCATGGTCCCGCTGGTGGACTTAGACCCTCACTCCTGAAGCCACACAAGATTCTGTTTTCCGGCTTCCAGAGTTTTGCCCTTAAAGATCTGTCGGTGAAGGGTGCCCCCTGGTGGAGAGTCAGGGATATAACACGCACACCTGCGCTGCTGTGGATTTGCAAAGATGCATCCAGTTCAGAGTCTTGGAGAGGAGTCGCACATCTGAGGGGAAACCTGGAAGATGCCGCGGTACCCAGGGGCCACCTGTGACATCATGCAGCGTCCCCCGCCAACGCCATGCGCTGACTGGAAGGCTCACGCTTTAGTAGTACTAGGCACATCCCAGGACGCAGACACAGTCCCACGTGAGTGCAGGGTCCCAAGGCTTTGGGCCATCCTCGACTGCTTTCCCAGAATGACAGGGAAGTGGGACAGCTGGGAAACAAACTGGCATCCATAAGGGACCCCGGTTCTGCGTGCAAGGTGAGGATTTAGCCATCGAGCCATTGCGCTGCAGTATAACATTTATCCTTTATTTTTTATTTGAAAGGCAGAACTATGGAGAGACACAGAGATCTCTCCTCCACGAGTTCGCTCCCCAAATGGCCATGACGGCAGGAGCTGGGCTGGACCAAAGTCAGGAGCCAGGTGCTTCTTGGGTGCAGGGTCCCAAGGACCCGAGCCGTCCTCTACTGCTTTCCCAGGTGACGAGCAGAAAGCTGCATCGGAACTGGAACAGGAGGCAAGCCGGTGTGTCCCCGCGGGTTGCCAGCACCACAGGTGGCGGATTAGCTTCCTGCTGCCTACTGTCTGTCGAGGAAAAGTCACTGTCTGGTGAGACGGATCCTCCTGTGACACAAAACACCATCAACCTGCGTGGGCGGCACTCTGTGCCACAACGGTGACCGTGACCCCTACGCTGGAGGAGACACACCCTTCCCCAGCCTTGCACTGAGGAACAGCAGCGAGAGGCGACACTGCGAGTTACACCACACGAACAGCATCTCCTCCGCCACGGAAAACCACATACTGCAAACGGCTGATGGGAAACGAAGTCAACAAGGCAGACCTGCACAGCGACCCCGCCCCGACCCCAAGGCGACCGCAGGCAGACCGAACGCCTTCAGACAGGAGGAACCAGCTCGAAAATGGCTCTTGAAAAAAGTTCAAACTCAAAGGAAATGCCAGTGACTGGGATTACACATATTCAGTTATGAAAATCAATTTTTAAGAGATATAGACTCTTATGAGGTTTTTTTGTTTTTGCTGTTTGTGCCTCGTGTTTACTCTCAAGACGGAGGCGGCCAACTTTCCTGGAAGCTGCGGGCTTTATCACGCAGCTGAGCAGAACTCAAGCACGCCGCAACGAAGGCGCAGCAGCGACAGCCGAGAGCGCTTAGGGCTGCAGCCACCCACAGTGCCCGAGTTCTGTGCGGTGGGTGATGTCACGCGTCCGTGGGTCGTGTTGGTTTGACCCACGGAAGAATCCAGACGGCAGCATTTCAGCAGATTGCTAAGTGAGGCCACGTGTTCTCCTGACTCGCCTGCTCGCTCTTTCAAAACGGGAAGTGGACTGGCTTTCTGTCAGCTTTGGCATCACCTTGGTAACGCCCACTTGCGGAGGAAATGGCCTTCTCCGAGAAAAATCAATACGCCCGTCTTACCCAGCTTTCCGGAAATTGAACTTTGGTTCTCAACTTCTTTTTCTCACCTGCTTCATGACTCCAGTGTTTTAGCCAGAAACAGTTAACAGCCAAAAAAAACTTCTTTTCAAACTGGACCTGAGAAACTTAAGCAAAGAAAGGACTGGTACACGTGGCTCCCTGCAGAGGCAAGACGCCCAAGGCCAACATTACATTCGTGTAATTACCTGGCCCAACTGAACTTAGTGGTGCTTCGCTGGGATTAATGACATGAAATAATTACTGCTGAAGTGACCTTCTTGTCAAGGGAATAAGAAAGCAAGAGAATCACTTAGCACGCGAGGTGCCGAGGTAATCGGTGGAGAACGGCACCTGGATGGGATTCTTAGCGCCTGGCAAGTTTGGAAAGCGTGGGGAGTTTTGTAAATGCAGCATCAAAAGCTGCTCGGGCAGGTGGTGGCCCTCTGACAGCTGTCATGAGCAGCCCCTTGTACAGGGGAACATTGGACGTGGGAGTCCGCCATCGGGAGGGGGCCGTCTCCACAACACGGGGGGGCCGAGGGCTGGTCTTTCCTGGGGTGCTGATGGATTGACATCTGATTTTCAAAGTGCTCAGATTCCTTCAGCAACTAACTTTGCTTTCAAAAGATGCAGCTACTGAGCAAGACTGGATTGGCTCAGATAGGCGGCAGCTATGCGAACAATTCCATGACAACAGAAAGGCAAGCCAACAGAAATCCTTGGATGTGCTATTGGCCATCAGTCAGCAGTGCACAGGTGTAGCAGGCACATGTACCAACGCCATCGCTGTGTGGAGAGCACACACACAGTTTAAGAGACTGATCTATCTGAAAAGTAGAGTTTCAGAGAAGGAAGATGATGATGCTGGCTCACTCCCAAAATAGTTTCAATAGCTGGCCAGGCAGAAGTGGAGCCTAGAACCTACCTGGGTCTCCCATATGAGTGGCCATGGACACTAGCAAGGAGCTGGCACCTGGGACCAGACTGTGTTCATGTGCAATGCAAGCACTGCTTTATCTTGCTGTGCTAAAATGCTGGCCTCGGTAACGCCTCTTGACCATCCTGTTAAAAATCATAAGCTGATTCCTCCTCCCAGCACCGGAGTTCTGGTCCATGTTATCCTGGTCAACATTTCTCTTTTTATATTATTCAGCACCTTTAAATTGATAATTTATTTAATAAAAAGAAAGAAATCCTTGCATAAAGCACCACCCCACGTGTAGATGTAGTATCCAGGCTGACAAGCTCAGGCAGAGGTACCATCTCATCTGCTTCTGGAGCGCGTGTTGCTGCTGCTTCTCTTAAGGTTTATTTATTTTTATCGGAAAGGCAGATATATAGAGAAGGGAGAGAGAGAGAGAGGAAGATCTTCCGTCTGATGGTTCACTCTGAAGCCAGGAGCCTCTCTTGGGTCCCAAGGCTTTGGACCGTCCTCAGCTGCTTTTCTCAGGCCACAAGCAGGGAGCTGGACGGGAAGTGGAGCCGTCGGGATTAGAACCAGCACCCACAGGGGATCCGGGCACATTCAAGGCGAGGACTTTAACCACTATGCTATCACACCAGGCCCGGAGTATGAGCTTCTTTACCACTGCCTTTGACTAGACAGCAGGCACCGGTGTGACCTTGCACCTGAAGGTCCAGCATCATGCTTCTCAGTGCAGCTGTGTTCCTTGAGGACACACAGGGGTTCTGCCAGCGCCATCCTTGTCCCGCTTCTGCAGAAGCAACTCATCAGCTTGAGCTCCAGATGGCGCTGTGTTATAGTCAGAACAATTTTTTTTTTTAACATTTATTAAATTTTTTTTACTGGAAAGGCAGCCATACAGAGAGAAAGATATTCTGTCAGCTGATTCACTTCCTAAGTGGCCACAATGGCCGGAGCTGAGCCGATATGAATGAAGCCAGAATCCCGGAGCTTCTTACGGCTTCTGAGCAAGTCCTGTCCAAGGACTCGAATTTTCACCTTAAACTCTTTCAAAATCCTGGGGTTCACCAGCGTTGGCAAGGGACAGCAAACAAACCTTTGACTCCGTCTGGAACATGTGGGGTTAGACCTGAGAAAGAACACACAAGCGGCAGGTGTGCTGTCGGCAGCCTGTCAATCAGGGAGAGAGTTGCCTGTCACTGGAGGGACACGGAGGTGGAAGAGAAGGCAGAATCGGCACACTGGGACAGTGAGGTGACGCCCTCACACCTGCTCCACTCGCGGCCCGGAAGGGGCAGTGCCCGGGTCGGGGCCCCTGTCCTAGGGCCAGGTGTGCTCAGAGCCACCAGCAGAATGCACTCTGGTGAGACCACCCACCGCTTCACCACCCGGGGCCACGGGCAGGACGGCTGTCTGTTGTCCCCCCTGGAGAGGAGGACTCTTGGCCTCACCAGGGCTGTCCCAGGCAGCTAATGTCATTACAAGAGGTGGGACTGGAGGGGGGGAGGAAAAAAGTCACTCAAAGTCTCAGTAATTCAATAATTTATTCCTCTAAAAAAGTGTGTAAAAGTATATAGCTCTCATCCACAAGGTATATATGAATGACATTTAAAATGGAGGCCTTTTATTATTGTTTCTTTTTATCAAAGTCTTTTAGTGTACTGTACCAGCGCTATACTGTAGTTTTTTTTTTAAATGAACTTCACATATTTTTGTATCTTTCAAATTGTTTGCTCTATATAAAAGAAGCTCACTGCAAAATGCTTGAAGGAAAAAGGAAACAAAAGAAATTCAGAACTTCCCAGAAATGTACAGCTTTTACATTTAAAAAAGGTTCTGAAATATACATACAGGCATGCTGGGCAGTCCCACCCTCCCCCCGCTGCCCTTGGTGAGTTCAAAGCATGATAAGAGTTCTGATCTCTGCAGGATTTCCAAAATTAAAAATTAAAAAAAAAAATAAAATAAAATAACTTCTCACTCTGTAGCAAATCCAGGGCTTGTACATTTCAGATTAATTCAGTAAAAAACTCACAAGTAAAATAATGCATATTTAAGGGAAATATTATACAGACTTTTTCACACAGAAGTATATAATAAGATTTTTAAAATCTATTGCCATTCATTTATTTTTGCACAAAAACGTATAAATATGTCACCAGCTTTTCTTAACTTAAAAAACTTAAATAATAAAAGACACCGATGAAAACTACCCTTTGCTGCCTTTTTTTTAGCCTTTTGTAGGTTTTTTTTCTTTTTTTTTTTTTCTTTTTTGCTTAGAATTGGGTTTCTAGGGAAGAAAAGCCCCCGCATTAAAAACAGCCCATTAAAAAAAAAAAATTCAAAGTTCTGATGAATTTTGGGAAAAAAAGCAACCCCAAAGTGGTAAAAGATTACAAATATCTACTTTACAGCGTGTCCTCTCAGCAAGACACTCCTGTACAAGTTTACAATCTCCCATCATCTTATGCTCTTCAAAAGGCCTTGAGAATTCTCCTTTCTGATTAAGAAAAAATAGCACTGCAGTATTTTCAAAGTCAACTTTACACTGTACACAGTAGATACAAACGGTTGCTATATCAGATTTTTCTCCTGTACATTGCAGAAGGTGGCCCTGCCCGCCATGGCGGCGCAGACAACGCTCACCCATTTACAAGTCATGTCTGTTCTTCTGTGCCCGACACACAATCTTTTCCTTTGTAATATAGTTTTAAACGTTAGATTATTTCAAGAAAAATACTTTTACAAAATCATATCAATTATTACATTTTTCCTTTTTTTTTTTTTTGTTTTTTTGTTTTTTGTTAATAACCAGGACATGGAAGTCTCTTGGAAGAACTTGTAAAATTTGCATGATTCTCTGCACACACAGACGAGAGCTCCCCAGGCTGGCGCGGCTCGGGGAGGCCGGTGCCCACTCATGCCCCGACAGACACGCCCTCGGGACGCCCTGGGCCTGGGGGACGCAGTCACAGAATACTTCATGAGCCAGTAATGCTTTAAAAAGGCATTTTTAAAAAAAGTTCCACAACGAAGGCTCAACTTCAAGTACTAATTTAATGGTTAATATTCCTATGGTCCAGAAAAATTTACCATATTAACTGGTTTTCTGAGCAAACACTTTCAATTGTGATATGTACACGAGTCCCTTTTTGATCTAATGAGAGGAGAGACCCGGCTTTCAATAAGAATTCACTAGAAAATAGATTTCCATTGCAACTATATAAAACTAGTGAAGTGACCTGCCTCTGCGGCCCCGGGCAAGGCCCGACTGCCTCCCCACCTCAGGAAGGGAGGGCGTGCCAGCACACGCGGCAGAACCTGGAGGACGCAGCTTGTTGGACAAAGCCCACTGCTGAGTGGTTCTCAATGTGTTAGTCCTTAGGCCTCATCTCCCCGACCTGTTTTCACTCCTTTTCTGGCTTCTGGGACAGAGGTATTCAGTCAGAGAATCCTACGGTGGATTGAGTTGGGTTTTAGTTACTGTACCTGGTCCTCATGAATTAAAAAAAAGAAAGGAAAGTCATAGGAAAAGTGGTGGCAAAACAACTCCAAATAAATAAACTGAAACTGTCACCAGACCATGACCGCCTTCCCCCAGGCAGGTGCCCATCTGGGTGGGTGGGCGGAAGCACTGGGAAAAAAGGTCCCAGTGTGGAAGCAGGTACTGGAGCTGGTTCTTGGTTTACCAAGTCCCAGCTCATGGAGTTCAGGTAACCCACGGGCAGACACCAATCACGAGAGGATTTCATCCACACGGCGGCCGGATGGCCCTCATCTTTAACAGAGGCTGACCACACAGACTCTTGTGCAAAAGGACACCGTTGCCTTAATTTCCCTCGGAAGTTTCTGGCCCACCAGTGGCCGGCAGCTGCCCTCACCACAACACTGGCTGGAAGTCACTGCTCATGGAAGTTTCCAGGTCCATAAGAGAAGTGGCATGGAGTCCCCCGAGGACCGGACACTGCAGGGACGGACTGTGCCTGTGGAGGACTCATGATGCAGGGCTGTGGAAAGGACGTGGGTCTCTGAAGAGCGGAGCAGGTTCCTTGCACTGAGGTTGCAGGAGAAGGAACTGAACCAGAGAGAACAAGTGCTTTTCCAATTAAAGTATATTCATGATGGCGTTGTACAACTGAGTCAGCACCACAAAGTGGACAGGAAGGCAGGAAGTACGGTCCTGGGTGGCTGGATTGCACGTGAGCCACGACAGGGCGTTGTACTGCTCCAAAACAAATCTGCCAGAGAGAACACGGGATCAGGGAGGGGCCGTGATAGACTGGGGGTTGTTCGCCCAACCAACACCTTCTATAGCTTTCCCATCCTTTAACCAGCCCTGGGCTCTCCTACACAGCCCTCTGTCCCGTCCTCCCCATGATGGGCCTTCAGCTGGCCCAGGCAAACATGGCCACTGAGCACCCGAGCTGGGGTCAGGTCCTCCTGAGATGTGTTGTACAGGTAACACCTATAGCAGAGGGCAAGGACTTGGAGCTTTAAGGACATCTATATATGGATGACGTGCTGGAGTGATACCATTTTACACATGCTGAATCAATGAAATGCCTTGCAAAATAAACTTCACTGGTTTCCTTTCAGTATTTTAATGTGGCCACAAACAAAATTTCCACGACACAGATCATCAAGTGGCTCATGCCTACTTGTTTTGCACAGAGCTCTTTCAGGGCCCCTTAAGAGTCCGATTCAGGTCCATCAGGTCCTTGGTAACTAACTCACTGAGGAGTTAGCATATATCAAACAAAGCTTGTATATTTCTCAAGGAACATGAAGACCATTTACGGACCAAAGTACAAGAGAATTACTACACATTTCTAGAATGCCATTTCCCAACTCTGGAATTGCTATCCCAGCTAATGTTACTGCTATAGTCTATGTCAGTGAGGGTGGAAAGTGTTTTCAAGGCAGAGAGCTTACAGCCCCGTCTTCTACTGTCCAGCCCCTGAAGGTGACCTGTTACGTCATCACTGTGGAGTGGCTCTCAGAATGGGAAACGCAGGCAGCAGAAGCTGCCCCAGCACTGGCTGCTCCAGGCATCTGCACGGGGCTGGCAGCCACTGCTGGCACTGCATGGCAGTACCTTTTCCAAAACTTCAAAGCCAGAGCAAAGGCATGTAACTTAAAACTGCCCGGTGTGGCCTAAGTCAGCATTTACCTTAGAACATCCGATGTCGTTTTGGAGTCCAGAGGGTGTGGAACCCGCTGAGAATTTCTGGCAGGGAGGAGTTCATCTGACTGTGCTACAGAAATGTGATGGTGCAGGGAAGCCTAGGGGAAGAACAAACAGCATTACCCTGTGCGCTGCCCAGCCCAGCGCAGGGCAGGGACCACAGGGCCAGAGGTGACCCTCTGGGAAGCCCTCCCAAGTCAGAGTTCCCTGGAGTCCACCATCCTCCAGCTGCTCACTGACAACCGCCCCCCAACCCCGTGCTCCATATCCCTCCTATCTGTACCCCAGAGGTGAAAACAAAGTGAGGTGTTTTTTTTTTTTTTTCCCCAGTCCATTTTCCTGGTCCACTGCATCTATTTCTTGAAAACAGTCAAATATATATAAAAACAGGATCATTGATAATGAGGCATCATGGATCCCACCCTCAAGCTGCACACATTAGCTTGGGTTTATCTCCTCTTGATTGTTTAAAAACAAAACCCAGATACTGCTCCATTTTGTCTGCAGGTAATTCAGTAGGTACCCTAAACAGATAAGGACTTTCTGAGAATCACTTCAACAGTAACTGTGAGGATATTCTGCCTGGCAGTTACAGATATCTCTACCCCCAGCAGAAGGAATGGATTTAAAATTTTCCAGTCTAACTCTTGATTCCAGCTTCCTGCTAACGTGCACCCTGGGAGGCAACAGTGAAGCTTCAAGCAGCTACAGGCGAGAAGTGTGTTAAGGTCCCAGCTTGTGGACTCCAGCCCTTGTAGGCATTTAGGAAGTGAACTAGCTAGTAAATAGGAGCTCTTTTGTTAACAAACATTCACAAATGAAAAAAAAAATCTATCTGTACTAGAACTGTACAGGATTTTCTTGATATACTTTGTTTGTTAAAGTCATGAAATAAGTATTTCCAATGCTACAAGGATGCACTTGCTATGGTCCCTTTGCAGTGGGCCCGGGAGTCTGGGCATTTATCACCACAGTCCTTCCTCTGGGTCTCCTAGAAAGCCACACATCTAAGAACTTACACAAGCCACATGCCAGTCAGGGACCCAGTAGGGTGCAGGTGAGCACACCTCACGGCTGCTGCTCTAGCCTCATCCTGTCCCCTCTAAAATAACCTGTCGTCATTACTGTGCCATCTGGAGTAATGTGACTGCACACTGGGCTCAGCTGGTACTAGCATGGTCTATAAAGTTCATCAACCCGTCACCCGATCATTTAGGCAGACCTAAGTGAATAATCAAAAATAATACTTAGGAGGCAAAATATAAATGCTTCATCTTTTCTCTTTTCAAATTTCAGATTAATAAATCTATCGAGCAGCAACCTCAAAGGGTGGCTAGTATTTTCTTTTGTTCAGCACAAACAGGAATCCAAAAATCTGTTCCCATTTATTGCTATCATCATGTAAAAATTATAATTAGGGTCCAGTGCAGTGGCTCAATTAATTCATCCTCCCCTTACAAGTGCTGGGGTCCCATATGGGCGCTGGTTCGTGTCCTGGCTGCTCCACTTCCCATCCAGTTCCCTGCTTGTGGAGGATGACCTTGGGACCCTGCAGCCACATGGCAGACTGAGAGGAAGATGGCTCGAGGCTCAAGGCTCCTGCTATACATCAGCTTGGCTTCAGTTGTTGCAGCCATTTGGGAAGTGAACCAGATGTACCCTATAGGCCCACAGCATCTCCTACTTGGATTCATACAATTTCCTTGTGTTATGCTTATAGGTCCTTAAAATCTTTCCAATTACAAGTATAATTAAAATACTCTGGGGATAAAGTGATATGAAACAGGGAAGAGAATAAAGCAATAGTGACTAAGGCAGAAATATCCAAGCCAGGTTGAACTGAAGCATAAATCAATCACTCCCCCAAACTTCAATATGACGCCAGACCAACCTTCAGGAAGAGAGGACACTGGTTCTGAGCCTGGGGACACGATGACCAAAACCATTGGGGGAGATTCTCAGCTTTGGCAGTTGACACAAAATAGCCCAGGGCCAGGGGCTGCTGCTTGAGCTCCTCGGGGGCTTCTCTGGAAAGGAGACGCTCACCCTGACTCTGAAAGACAAAGTTCCAGGAGCACAGTCAGCATCTGTTGTGAAGCTGCACAGGCCAGTCTTCAGGAACTGACTCTACACACTCGGGCGAGTGAGGCCCTTTCTGGGAGCATCCTCATGAGAGCACCAGACAACCAGGGAAGCCATCAGAAGGCAGCATCCTCAAGCACATGAAGATCCATGACACAGACCAGAGCTCACACAGCAGATGCAGCAAAACCAACAACACGCAGCCAAGTGAGTCAGGACTGATCCGCTCTGGATCTCATCTACAAGACACAAACTATGCCCCCTGCAACTACTGGGGAACTGACCCAACTGAAGAGACTGCAATTCCCAACAGCTACACTCACGGGCTCTGTCAGCAGTAGTAACCAAGCAGTGACAAGAGCACCCCGACCGTGCACCATCAAGCAATACAGATGAGGATGAGGCCAGCATGCTGCCAGTGTTACTGCCACGTTGGCAGCATGAGATCCACTGCACTTATCTGCAGCTGACATCTTCCTCAGCTTTAGTTCTTAGAGCTTCAAGAATGGAAAAACGTACCTTTCTGGCAAGCCATATCAAGCAATCTGTTTCTAAATGCCTTGGTTAGAGGGGGGAAAAATCCTCAACTACTACATCAAATTGATCAATTCTTAGTTAAAAATGAAAAACTGATTGCAGCCTTGCACAAATTGTCTCCTGTCTTAGGCAGAATGTTCAATGGCTCAGGAAAAGGACAGGAACAAGCCTCTTGGAGGTCATCTGGCTGCAAGGTGCTCAGTACTGAAAAGGGCAGCTGAGTAGCTGTGCAGCACTGCTTACACGGTGACATTCAATTAAAGACGCCTGGGCCTGAGGCTTGAAGCAAGGCAGAAAATACAGTACTCCTCAGAGTCTTACAAGGCTAACACTACACTTCAATCACCGACTTTCTCTGGTTAAGGGATAACCTGAATTACAATGACAGGTACTGGGAGGCTGTTGCTCTCATTTCTGTCTCACTGACACGGCTGAGCTCACCACGCCGGTACCTGCAGACATCTTCATCAGGTGCCAGGGCAGGTCTGCGCAGCTGCCAGGCTCCTTGTCTCCAGAATGCACACTAACCTCAATTTAAACCTATCCAACATGAAATAAGTGGTTTTGGTTCCTGTCAAAATAATCTCCAATGAGTAAGCAAATTGTCACTAACTGCCCAACAGCTGTAAAAGAAACACAGACAGAAAGGGGGACGGGGGCAGCCCCACTCGCCTTTCCCTGCTTCCACCTGCTCTGTGACTAAGCTTCAGATCTGTTTTCTCCTCATCATCCTTCAATTCATTCAGCACTGGCAATAAAAGTCCCACCTGGCAGAAACCTAAGCACTTTAAGTCCATCTTTGTGTCTGAATAAATGAGTGTGAGCAGGGCTGCTTCTACTTGTTCAGTCTAAGACACTACCCGTAGCGATGTTTCTCTGTCTTAGTCCCTTAATCTCTTGGTATTTTAAATAAAAAGTACAATATGGTGACGAGGCATGAATCACCTAACTGTGCAACAAAGCACACGCGAGCTCCGGCAGGACCTTTTCACTCGCCAATCTTCTGCTAATCCAGCTCTAACATCCCTGGGATATTTAAAGATGAAGCTAGTGTAAGCCCTGCCTTTCCCCTTAATACTGTGGCATTAACCTGGACAGTTCTGTAAAATTAGCCCCCTGATGGCTTCACTGCGCCTGCTGGCTGGCTGTGGAGACCAGGACTGCATAAAGGAACGCAACAGGTGGAGTCAGGCTCCTTCTGGAACAAACTATCCTCAACAACGTGTTCTGCAATGAACAGTTATTGTGTGTGCTAAATTAGCAGAGATCCTGAACTAGCATCCCGGAGGCCACACTTTTTGACAAAAGGAAGAAAAAGCATGAAAACTTGGAAGAAACAACAAGGAAAACTAAATTTTCCTAAGAAAACACTTACATAAAACCCTTGCTTCTATAGCAAGATCATTTGTCCATCAAAATTATTCATCAGAAGCAATAAGACATTTTTTCCAGAGCACTTTCCCACTCTCACTTGTCTTGCAGCAGAGACCAACACCAGCATCAGAAAGATGGGGCATGTAGTGAGAGGTCAAGCAAACATGCAGAGGGCCGCCCTCTTGAGGCCGGCTGCTGTCAAGAGGCTGTGCAGGCATTCTTACCCGGCTGTGCTGGAAGTGTGAGCCCACACCAATTCCAGAAGGAGACCCTGGGGAGGGGACGGGGGAGGAGTTCGGAGAGGAATGGAGGTTCCCAGTTATTAAGATGCCAATATCATTGTCCATATCATCTGGGAATGGAAGGTCAACAAACATATCATCTGGAAGAGATGGGAGGGAAAAACACAGAAATTTAACAGATAATCCAGGATCATGCTTTGCACTCCCATGAGTGTCACAGATAGGATATTCACAAGTCGGTGAGATGGAGTGTCTAAAGTGTGCAAAGTGCTACAAATCACACTTTAATTTTCTCTCCATCTTCTCCTAATGTGAAGCAGGAACAGAATGGAGGAATAAAGAATACAAAAGAAACCTCCAAGGACATATATAAAAATGGCAAAAGAAGCAAATCATTAAAGTGAAAGCTGGTAACACAGTAGTCTCTATCTTTATATATCTAATAAATATCCAAAATACTGGAGGCTGATTGAATGCATGTCAGTAGGTAGAAATTTAGGTTGGAAAGAACTATACAAAAAGAAAGAAGTATCAATAATAACCCAGTCACCAGGATCATTTTTTAATTATTTTTTTACCCATGTTATTCCATTGTGATTATACCTATCTAATACCTGCAATCATTTTCCCTCTCCATTTAATGTAAGTACATGTCAGTAACTGCTTAAAAATCTCCAAACTAGGACTCTGGTGCAATGGCTCAAGTGGCTAATCCTCCCCCTTATAAGCACTGGGATCCCATTAAGCACCGGTTCAGGTGCTGGCTGCCCCACTTCCCATTCAGCTCTCTGATTGTGGCCTGGGAAAACAGCAGAGGATGATGCAAAGCCTTGGGACCCTGCACCTGTGTGGGAGACCTGGAGGAAGCTCCTGGCTACTGGCTTTGGATCAGCTCAGCCCCAGCCACTGCAACCATTTTGGAAATGAATCAGCAGAAGATCTCTGTCTCTCCTCTTTGTAAATCTGCCTTTCCAATAAAAACAAATCTTAAAAAAATAGAATAGACAATTCTGAGCATTATACAGTTGAAAATATGCAACTATTTCTTAACAAATAGTCAAATCCAAAAAAAAATCTATCAAGCCCCAAGTATGGGACAGCTCTGTGGGCCATCAGACCCCCAAGAGGAGGCGTTGTCTTCATGCTGCCCAGGACTATGCGCATGACCATTCAGGTCAGCACTGACTCATGGACAGAATGACACCCAGGCCACAGTCAGGAAAACACTATTTTTGCCTCTAATGAAAAAGTAGAATGAACTAATTACCTAAGAGAACATATTTATTTGGTCTTGATAACAGTACAAATTAATTGAAGCTTTAAAAGTAAAAACATTCTCCGATATCCACTCCTGTTTCCCACGTCATTACCACACAGAAAAATGTACAGCAGCCCATTGCCTCCATACTTTAGAAAGCACACTTGATTCACACAGTGTCTTCACTCACCATTGTTGGGGCTGAATCCATCCTCATTGGGGTAATTGGCTGGAGCCACCTGGATGGTGGACGATGTTGGGAACACCAAGATGTGTGTACAAGAAGCATCTTGGGGGGTGTTGAGCTGAGAGGACTGCATGTTCAGTGCAGTACTTCGGCCGAAAACAGAACCCATTGTTACAGCATCTTAAAAAAAAAACAACAGTGTCAGTTCCCTGGTGCTGTGGATAGGAGCAAAAGAGATAAGGCCTAACTTGGAATGCTGCGAATAGGGCTAAGCTGCCAGCACGAAAAGTCGAGCCCAATGGCTTAAGTGTGTTCAAATAAAACTGCCTTGAAGCAGGTAGCTATAACTCAAGCCTCACGTCAGACCAGAAAAGGTTAAGTTGAAATTGGAACAAGCCCACTAAGTTTGTTTTACTTACATAAAAAGTATTTCTAAAAATAAGTTCCTCTCTCCATGTTCCTTCCTCCTGTGGTTGCTCACAATTTCCAAAGTACTATTCCCCTAAAGAACAATCCTACAGAAGTGGTGTCATTGAATTAGTAGCTGTTTTGATTAACATTTATTAAATGCTTGCTACACACCAGCTTTTGTGCTCAGGTCCTTACTCATGTCATTTCATTCCATTGTTCTTCAAGGAAAAACTCTTATCCCCATATTGTGAGGAGAGAAGCACAGACAAGTTCCCAAAGTGGCCAAGCTGTCCAGACCAGGGCAGAGACTAAGGCTGCAGTGAGCAGGCCTCACGCTGAAGCTGTCTGCTTCTCCCTGCGTTGATGACAATCATGTTCTCATATCATACCACTTCAGACTTGCAGAGGGGTATCAGCAGACAGTCCCCCATCTGATCACAGAAACACAGCAATCCTCTCCTTAACTGTGCTTTTATTTTCTAAGCTTTCAGCCTTATTCAACTGTTATACAAAAAATACTAAGCTGTCAATTGCAGAAGTAAACTGTGTTCTGGTGGTCTGAGGAAGCTGATGAAATCCCTTGGGGGTCCTACTCTGTCCCACTTGGAGCATGAATCACTCCTGTATCCATGATATGCAACCTCCCTGCCAACTAGTCCCTTAGTAACTCCTGTGGTATCGCAGTGCCTATGTTCACATAAACCCTGCCCAGCAAAAGGCTGAGCCTGTATCACAATGCCCACAGCATTCACCTCCCTTTCATCATGGAGGTGCTGGATCACCCATCCCACATCATCACAGGCAGACCTTTCTCACAGGTCCACAATACATATAGGACAAAACCAGTCCACACGGGGTTCAGCACTCACTGAGGTGCCATGCACCCACTGCCAGGGACAAGGAATGCTTAAATCTGGAAGGTAGGGTACAGAACTGCTGCTTAGTTGCTCTTTTCCAAAAGCCAGCTAGGTTCTGCAAGATTCTCTGATCACGTGTTGTGACTATCCCCAAGTGGTACTTTAATTTACTGGGGGCTTACTGGGTGCCAGGCTCTGTGCTAAAAGCTTTACTTGTATTTGCCTCACCATCCATCCTCAAACATGTCAGAGAAGCCAAATATCCATTTTGTAGCTACTGGGAGATTCTATCACAAACACTTGTCATGCTGGGGTATTCTAAAGGGGGATGATTTTATACTCCAAAGACAAGTTGGAATTTGGTAAAGGCACTCTCATTCACAGCCAGACCTATTCTCTAATGAACTCCTTCTCTTGGAAGAAATCAAAATGTTTCCATTTTTCAAGATGAAGTATGTTATAAAGATTTGTAATAACAACAACATATGCTATATCTGTCTACAGACTTTAGTCTGAATGGACTGAACTGAGGAGGTTCCTAATGAATGACACTGACAAGTGGGCATTTACCTGGCATCACGACAAAGGACCCCTGGGGCTCCATGGCAACGAGGCAGGCACTAAGGATCGAAGGAGAGTCTGCGGCAGAGACTCCACACAGCCGGCACACTTCCTTGAGCTTTTTGCTGATTGTCTGTAGTGAACATTCTCCAAGGAGGATACTCCAATCTGAAACCAAACATTGCAGTCATAACATAGTCTGAGGTGAGGATGGAGGCTTTCACCAATTCTGCCAGATAACTGAGCTTTCCATAATTAGACCCTAAAGGGAATGAGCTTTCCATAGGTTCCCTTCTTCAAATGCAAAGAAAATGCCACTTGACTTCTACTGTGCTTCACTACAAACAAAGGAACGAGAAGGGAGTCACACTAGCAATTACCTGTCAGGGCTCTGCACAGATCGGGGGAGACTGAGGCACTAAGATGCTGCTCAGTGCTGGGTCCTCCTGCTCCTCAAGGTCTCCATCTTTCCTTTGGATGACAGCACAGACAGAGGGAACCCCTGTCGTGTTTGTTGTTTCCACATAAGGCAGGCAGGCAGTCCCAGAGCTGAAGGGGGTCTCATTCACAGAGTCCCCAAGAGTGTATCAAAAACGGATGTGAGCCACGTGTTCCAAATGGGACTCAGAGCCAAGTGCTGGCGTAACTTTTTCATTCTAGTGTTTGCCTGTTGCTGTTGGGGTTGCTACACTGGGAAGAAGTACTCAGTCTCCCCTCAGACACACACGAGGCATGTGCTACTCCTAGGTAAGCACGGCTGTCAGCTTGTGTGCCACTGAACAAATGTCACTCTACTGCCACAGACTTCCAAACAAGCTTTCTCACCTTCGAGAGTAAGCTAATGAAAGCATGCCTTCCTGTTCCTGAAGAGCTTCCCAGTAAAGTAACCGAGCAAAAAAGGTGCTGAGGAATGTGAAGACCTTGGACAAGCAGATGTGGGCTTCCATTTCAGACAAAGCAGTGTTACTATTTCATCACACACACTCTGCAGAGAAGGGGCAGAAACTGAAATCTAAGGCTGCGATCAGACAGTGCCCCTGGAGCTACATGTGACACAGATCTCAGAGTCCCCGCAGGAAGGAGCCCAAGACCAGTAAACAGACTTCCTGTGCACTGAGTCCTCCCTGTGTTTTCATTACTAGAAATAGATTTTCTCTTAATCTTCTGATGGACTCTTGCAGTCACACTCACATTATTCTCCTCTACCAAGATAAGGAAGACAATCACGTCCCTTCTAGAAATCGCACGAGGGAAGGAGTTGGCCCCACTCATTTTCCAACATTCCGTGTGACTGGACTACTGTAGCACCTTCTTAGCCCCCATCTGCTCGCTCTATTATACTCTAGGTGTCCCCATGGGTTAAGAACAGCTTAAAGCCTTTAAAGAAATAAGATTGACTAGAAAGCAGATGAGGGAGGAAGATAGGAATTCTGACAGAAATGAAATGAATCCCCTAATGTATTACCCTTCAGGCTATTGATACAAGATTCATTATAAGTGTGAAATTCTCTAAAAAATTTGAAAAGGGTCATTTTTTTTGTCTGTGTCTATACAGCTTCCTACTAAAAAAATTCTGTGTGCAATTAGATGCCCAAGAAAATATTTTCAATGTGTAGTATGTAATATTTGCATTGCTGTTGTTAAACTCTGAAATTTTTCATCCATTTTACCTATCTATATTGTGGGAAGTGACATTTCTTATAAGCAAGTTTTACCTTTGTCATGCTTTTATTTTGTAGATTCCGCAAATACCTGATATCAATTCCCTTTACGCACTCTTAAATGCAGGGTTAAGCAAACTATGAATCACAGCTCAAATTCTGCCTAATCACCCGCTTCTGTAAATGAAGTTTTATTAACACACTGTCCCACTGAAGTCAGCATTGTCTATGGCTGCTATGACATTACAATGGCAGAGCAGCTTTAACAGCAACCGTCTGACTTGCAAAGTGGAAAAATGCTAACCCTCTGACCCTTTAAAAATAAACTGTTGGTGCTTATGCAGTGGTTCAACAGGTTAATCCTCAAGTGTTGGGATCCCATGTGGATCCCTTGTGTCCCAGCTGCTCCACTGCCCATCCAGCTCCCTGCTTGTGGCCTGGGAAAGCAGTCGAGGACGGCCCAAAGTCTTGGGACCCTGCATCCATATGGGAGGAAAAAGCTGGTCTGCTGGCCTCAAATCAGCTCAGCTCCAGCAGTTGTGGCCCTTTGGGGAACGAGCCAGTTCATGGAAGGGCTTTCTCCTTCTCTCTGTAAAGGTGCCTTTCAAATTAAATACATAAAATCTTTAAAAATTAAACTAAATTGGGTGGGAAAAAAGCTCTGCTGACTCTGCTTGAATATACGTGCATACAAGGAACCTACCAGGCTGATCTATAACCTGATACTTGTTTTGTGTAGTCCTTAGGCAAAATCTCCTCTGCATCCATATGCATTTATTGATATGAATACATTCCTACAAATGTGCCATCCATTACTAAGGCTTCAAAGATGACCTTGCTTCCATAAACTCTTCAAGTAGCTGTGCCGTACATGAGCTGTGCCATAGTTAAATGAGTTGGGCTCAGAGCTAAGCCAGAGAGCTGCTGGTAGTCAGTGAAGTTACATTAATTACTCTTAGCACTTTTTACTAATTCTATTTGTGACAAAGAAGATGAGTGGTGATGGATATTATCAGAGAATTCAAACATAAGCACTTGCTGGTCAGGTGTCTGTAGTAGCATAGTAGTTAAGGCACGGCCTAACACACCTGCACCCAAAGTTGGAGTGTCTGGTTTTGACTCCCGGCTCTGCTCTCGATTCTAGTGTGCTGTTACTGTACATTCTGGGTGGTGGCTGGTAAGTACTTGGATCCCTTCCACTCACACTGAACTGAGTTCCTGGTTCCCAGTTTTGGCCTGGCACAGCCCTTGAAGCTGCTGGCATGTGGGGAGTGAACCAGTAGATGGGAGAACTTTGTCCCTCTCACTGCCTTTCAAAGACAAAAACAGAAATGTTTCTCTTAAGCCATCAGGCTGAATGAAGAATGCCCGATACAGGCAGTGTCAGTTCAACTGCTCCTATGCCCAATTACTTGTCCTTGCAAAACAGATTCCCTCCCTACTATGCCACCAGAATGAACTGTCATTAACCAAGCAAATGGCAGTCTGTGACTTTAACTATCATCACATTCTGATGTAAACTTGTCTTAAAATTGACTTGTTCCTCTCACTGCCTCAGTATCTAAATGTTAGAAACTTGGATTTACTGTATTATGATTTTCATAATAATAACTTTTTATGTATTGCATAGTGATATTCTCTAGGTAAGATTTTATTTAGATAAAGTTTAAAAACTACCAGTTTACTCTATGTACATAGAAAGACTTTAAAAACACAGTCTGATTTATTCCTCCAGCAGTGCAAGCATGTTCTCTGTTGAGTTGCACACATTCGCTTAGCACTCTGTCTCCAGCACACACTGCTCTGGGAATGTCTCACCTTTAAGCTCCCCGTGGCCAAGCCGGCCGAGTCGGCCGATCACAACTCTCCAGGGTATAGATGTCACCTGGAGAATCCCTATGCACCAGTCCCATAACTTCTGGAGGCCATATTTACGCACAGAAACTTTACTCTTCCGTAACCTTAAAAAAAGAAGAATAAAATAAAATGGGGAAGAGCTCCTCAAATGAAGCAAAGGTATCACTCAATAGGACCAGCACAAGGGTAGCTGTTTGGGGTGGTGGCTATACGCAGAACACCCACACCCTGTACCCGGGTACCAGGCCCACATCTCAGCTCTGGCTCTGATATGGCTTCTTGCAGAGGCAGCACATGATACCTCAAGGACCTGGGTCTTTGCAACCCAGAAAGGAGACCCAGACTGAATTCCCAGTTCCCAGCCCTAAGAGTGAGCCAAAACATGCACGAGATCTCTGTCTCTCTACCTTTCAAATAAATAATCAATTAAAAAAAAAATACAAGACAATTCCAAAGAGCTTACCCATGTAGTAACCACTGTGGTGGAAAGATTTCTGAGAGAAGGTATACCATCAATTTACATGAACTATAAACATCAAGCTTCTCACCTGGTTGGTAAAGCAATATTTATAATGCAGGTGTCTATTAACTCCCCATGGAGGTCAGTGCAGGAAGCCAAAAGCCAGCGCTGGTCATGAGACAGACAGTAGCCCACAAACAGCACATTGTATTTCTGGCCCGCCTCACCGAACGTCTCTCCCAGCTCTGTCTGCTTGTCTTTGATTGGAGCCAATATAAAGGGAGGGGCGTAAATCTGGACTGGGCTAGGCCGCTGCAAACAAAAATCAAATTCAGAATCATCAGAGAGCCATCCAACTTAATATTTCTAGCTAGCCCAGAACACTAAAGAGAAGTAACAGGAAGTATGGACAATAAGGCTGTCTCTCCAGCACTACTTGGATTTATAGTGATGAGGACACAGATAACAAAATTTCTGCTGCAATTACAGACACTTGAAAGTCAAGCTGAATCAAGTTACCTTCAGGCTATGTTTGTAAGCTACATTTGGAACATGAAAAGAACTTCATGTTTAGATTTGGGTCTCATTTCCAAGGTATCTCACTACATACATGCAAATGTTCCAAAAGCTAAAAAAAAGTCCACAATCTGGAACATTTCTGATCTCAGGCATTTGAGATAAGGGTCCCTCAAGCCGCACAGCGCCTGAGACACAGCAGATGGAGAGCCTACATTTACTGAGAGCACGATGTTCCAGCCACCAACAGTGGTAAAGGCAATACTGACCAACCACTACCTTAGGCAGCTACGATGTACACATCTCAGCCAATGTTGGTAACTACTGGTTCTTCTGTTTTAAATACACTAAAATGATTTCTTTTTTTCCTTCCTTTCCATGTAAAAACGAACAAAGCATATTACTTGAGGGGCTTTTAGCCATTTATTTCCATCTAAGCGTCACTTTTTTCTCATGAATTTCTGACAGTGTTTTGTTAGTATTACAATGTGCTCAAATGTCTTATAATGCCCCAGAATATCCTGCCAGTAGACCGTTAGCCTTAATCTTCACTATGCAAATGAGGAGTACTTCTTACTAAAATTCTAAGAAATGACTTTATGTCAACTGCAAAACAACCAAAAAGGTAAAGAAAGGCAATTCCTAACTTCACAGACAAAAGAGGAAACAAGGTTATTAAAAAAAAAATTAAAATAAAAACATAAATTGCCTGCAAAAGTGAAAAGCTCAAATGGAAAGATGAAAGAAAGAGAGAGAGAGAGAAACAAAGGGAGAGAGAGAGAAAGAAGGAAAGAAACAGAGAAAGAGACGGAGGGTGGGTTACTTAATCCCAGACAGGCTTCTCCTCGGGATGAGGCTGAACTGAACCAAGCTACAATGAGCAGACCATGAGCCCACTCCCGCATATCCTAGCTCCAAGCTCTGTCTTCTAAAACGGATACACATTTCCCACAACTTTCCAGGGAAGCTGACATTCTTATCCAATGGAGTCAGCAGCCGCTTGGGTTTGCTGGACTCTCTTATGGGGAAGAGGAGGGCTTGTACTAATGGGCAACATTTCGTGCAAAAACTTGGAGGAACTGAGTTTTGAACGTTTAAAAATACTAAACATTGTTCTGAGCCTTCAACAGAATGTGATTAGAAAAACAAAGAAAGTGAAACTTCGGTTTATAACATGTAAATTTCCCTTGAGGTGCATGCCTGCGGGAGGCAGGCCTAAAGGACAGAGGAGGGAGAAGTCCCGGGTTCTCCCATTGCAGAGCGGAAGCTCAGGCATATTGCCCTCCCAGACACAAACCAGAGCCTGGAAGGCAGACTTTCTGACTGAAAACAGATTAGCTTAGCAAAATAACACATTTAGGAAATTCAAACATTAACAACCACAAGTTAGAGCGTTGCTGCATCAGGTCGTACAACAAAAACCAGTGTTTGCCTGCTTCTTAGAAAGCTTTACAAGTTCAGAAAAGTCTTTCCTCTGTTTTAACTTGAGGCTCCTCTACCCACTTAGCAAGCCAACCAGGCAGCCCAGCACTCTCCAAGCAACAGCAGCACTCGCCTGGCTGGCATTTCGGGTAGAAGGGTGCGCCTTCCGCACAGCTGGGAGCTGCCAATACTCACTTCTGGGTTCCTGAGAATCATCTCCATGCTGGCTGCAGGCCCAAACCCCGTGAGGGACTTAATGTGGATCTGTGTAGGCAGCGGCCGCCTGCACTGGCAGTACACGGAAAATGCCATGGACTTCAAGTACTGGATGTAGAACACTTGCTCGTCCTTCATTGTCTGCAGCATGTACTGGCAAGGCACAATCTGCAGGCACAGATTTAAACAGGCTAGTGAGAGAGCTGCAGCATCAAACAACAAGCATTCATTACGGAAGTTGGGAGAGGGAACTGTAGCTTTAAAATATGTAAACGCCAAACTTAATTATATCCTAATTCCTTCCAAGGACAGAAAATGCTGTCTCCGAAATGCACGCCCTCAACTTAAGAAGAGCTACCAGTACAAAAGCCAGTTACACAGTTACGTTGCAAACGAGGTTCTCAATTCAGGGGTAAATTCTCAGTGCAGTACTGCCAAGGGCTCAAAATATTACAACTTGCATTTTAATATATTCCATCTTTTTATAATGAATATGTACAGCACCATGAAATCATTGGAGTAACTGTCTAATAAACAAACAACTATCAACAGGTTGTTCCGAGCATTGTAATTTCAATTTTTTAATTCTACAGGACAGTGTTCTTTGAAGAGATGTTAAAAAAAAAAAAAATCGTGCCCAGCAGCGTGGCCTAATGGCTAAAGTCCTCGCCTTGAACGCGCCGGGATCTCATATGGGCGCCGGTTTTAATCCCGGCAGCTCCACTTCTCATCCAGCTCCCTGCCTGTGGCCTGGGAAAGCAGTCAAGGATGACCCAAAGCCTTGGGACCCTGCACCCATGTGGGAGACATAGAGGAAATTCCTGGATCCTGGCTTCGGACCGGCATAGCATCGGCCGTTGCATTCACTTGGGGAGTGAATCATTGGACGGAAGATCTTCCTCTCTGTCTCTCCTCCTCTCTGTATATCTGACTTTCCAATAAATAAATAAATCTTTAAAAAAAAAAAGTCAAACAGGACCCAGTGAGATGGCTCAGTTGGCTAATCCTTTGTCTTACAAGCACCAGGGTTCCTTGTAGGTGCCTGTTCTAATCCCGGCAGCTCCACTTCCCATCCAGCTCCCTGCTAGTGGTCTGGGAGAGCAGCAGAGGATGACTCAAAGTCTTGGGACCCTACAGCCCTGTGGGAGACCCTGAAGAGGTTCCTGGCTCCAGATCAGCTCAGCTCTGGCTGTTCTAGCCGTCTGGGGAGAGAACTGGTGGATGGGAGATGTTTCTGTTTATCCTCTCTCTGTAAAGCTTCTGTTTCAATCAAAATAAATAAATCTTAAAAAGTTTTTTTCCAAACACCCAGGCATCAGTTTTCACTTACACAGAGTATTTTTTAAATGGTTACACTATAGACCTTTGAAGGGTATGGTAACATCAGGCCTGTTCACTCACTGCTGAAATAACCTTCCTGGAAGGAAAGCTGCTTTTCAGCATCGACATCTAAGTCTCTAGTTTAAATAATCTGAAGCACAACAAAGCAAATGGTATACACACAGAATTACTATGATTTGACTTATAACATATGAAAAACTTGCAGTCATTTATTTATTTTTATTGGTAGGTCAGATTGACAAAGAGAAGGAGACAGAGATCTAAAGATCTTCCATTCGCTGGTTCATTCCCCAAGTGGCCGCAACAGTTGGAAGCTGAGCTGATCTGAGGCCAGGAGCCAGGAGCTTCCTCTGGGTCCCCCAGGCGGGTACAAGGTCCTAAAGTTTTGATCTGTCCTCTACTATTTCCCAGGCCACAAGCAGTGAGCAGGATGGGAAGTGGAGCAGCCACAAACCAGCACCCATATGGGATCCTGGCAAAAGCAAGGTGAGGACTTTAACCACTAGGCTACTGTACTGTGCCCTAAAAATATTTCTCATCAGAATTTTCAAGAAGCATGGAAGGCCTGGCGTCGTAGCATAGCAATTAAAGTCCTCGCCTCACCCTGGGATCCTATATGGGCGCTGGTTCTAATCCCGGCAGCCCTGCTTTCCATCAAGCTCCCTGCTGGTAGCCTGGGGAAGCAGTCAAGGACGGCCCAAAGCTTTGGGACCCTGCACCCGTGTGGGAGACCTGGAAGAGACTCCTGGCTCCTGGCTTCAGATTGGCTCAGTTCCAGCCATTGTGGCCACTTGGTGAGTGAATCATTGGACAGAAGATCTTCCTCTTTGTCTCTCCTCCTCTCTGTATATCTGAGTTTACAATAAAAAAAATAAGTAAATCTTAAAAAAAAAGAAAAAACGAAAGAAGCATGGAAACTCATTCAGTAGAAAAAATTTAGAATTATGTTAAATATATATGACCTCAAGCCTGTAAATGTAGCAGAACGTGAATGTGACGATGGTAGAAACTAGAACACAGGGCTGCAGAAGATTCTTCTTTTGTATTTTTCTATACTTTCAATTTAATAAAAATCATGCACTTGAATCTATGTTCAATAAAACAATGCCAATAAAAGTAAAGGATAAACTTGTAGTCACCTGGAGAATGAAAGAATTTCTCATATGCTTAGGTAAATTATCCAGCATTTCTGCATAGCAGCGCATCAAGCTCAACACCCAGAAGTTTCCGGGAGTGGCATCCTCCTCTGCGGTGTAGGTGAACGGGTCCACCATGTAAATGACGACAGCGGGAGGGTAGGCGTGGCTGTCTGCCGAGTCAGGCTCTGTGGGGATGCCTATTCGCTCCCTCTCCGTAACGCTGAATAGAGAATGACTTGTTAGGCGGCCAGAATAAACATCCATTACACAGAATACATGCAACTAGGAGCACATTTATTCCCTAGACAATGATTACAGATTAGATGTAAACATATTATGTATCACATCTTCAAAATGAACGCAAATCAAGACAGTATGCAGTGAGAGCAGACGGAAAAATGACAATGCAGGTTGAGCAGCTCTAGCACAGAAACTGGACTTTACAGAGTTATCAGTTTTAGAGCATCCTGCATTTTACATTTCAGATTTCCAGTAGTCAATACAAATATTTTAAAATCTGAAAATCTCCACCTGGTCCCACTTATTTCAACTAGAGGATATTCAACCTGTACTACCCTCTAAAATGAGATAACTCTTTTCAAAAACAGTTGTAAGTCAATAACCCTAATAATAATGCTTACTAATTATAATTAATCATAAGTCTCAAACTTCTTAATAGAGGAATAGATTGACAGTTGCTATTTTTTTATTTGGGAGAACAGAAATAGAGCACTGTGCTAGATTTCTGAGCTTCAGGAAGTCGAACGGGGTAGGGATGTTCACTGAAAGAGTATAAAGGAGGCCCAAGCCAGGCACCCGTCTGAACGCACCTTTCTTGTCCGTCCTGGGAGGGCTGAGAAGAGCTTTGCCCAGGCTCAGTGTCTCCACCACAGCCAACGTTCCCTGGGGTTCTATCCGTGGAACTGCCCCCAGCGTTGGGGTTCTGTCCTCCAACACTACCACTGAATCCTGAAGAGGAGGTAGTGCTGATTTGGTTAATACCCGGAACACAGGTAGATGATGAGACGGGTGGTCCAGAGGACCCAGATGCAGAACTACTTGCTGCAGGGTTGCTACTGTTGGAGGTGGGATTAAATGCACTGCCAGCAGGGGGAGCAGCTGATCCTGAACTTGAAGCCAAAGGCCCAGCATTCCCAGGCGCAGTCTGTCCCTGTGCTGCTGCTGGTGGGTTCTGATACCTGGGTGGTGTCAGCAGGCTGCTGTCAAGCTGCAGAGTGGCTAAGTAAGGTGCTGAAAGATGACACAGACAGAGGTAATGTCAGTGATGCCTGCAATTGCAGGAGGCCAAAGCAGAAATTTTGGAGTCACTTTATAAAGAAAGTCGTACTTTTAAGCTACAAAATTTATGGTATCCCAAATACTATCTCCACACATGAACATATGCTTACATATCCTGCAAACATAAAAATGTGTGTGGACAACTGGCTGCATACAGAGCAGCCTATTTAAAAAGACAGAAACTACTGATGACTTGTGATGCTCTCCTTACACACAGATTTCCTGACGAGTGACAGACCATGCACCCCATGGCCATTTTGATTAAATCTCTCTTCATGTGTACATAGCTTTATATGCTTCTAACATTCTCTTGAGAACACAGGTTAAGATTAAGCAGTAAATACCAAGTCATGCTGCTAACTTTTCAAAAAGTGGAGTAAATGATATATGACTCCTTTAGATAGCTTCAAAAAGGTTTTAAAGAACACATAGCTACACAAAAATTGGTCTTTTTACTACACCAAAAGAAAAAAAAGTACCTAACAGTAATGAGACGTTAGCAAACACTACCAGTGACAAGAGAAATCAGTAAAATGTCATATCCACGAGGGAAGGGGTAGATTAGCTATTCTGTTCTTCAAATTCTACTCAATCAGGTCAAGTGTCATTTACCTAGGTGATGGCGGCAAACTTGCGCGTAGAGCTTGAGTCTGGAATGATTGTCGCTCTCCTCACTGCTCCACGGCTGGTTAAACCACTCGCTCACAAGCTCATTGTTGAGCTGCGGTGCCACGGTCTTCCCCACACGCATGATCCCGTCACGCAGCACTCTGCAGATGGGCTTGTGCTGCCCGAGTCTGCACATCTGCACAAACCAAACGAGTGCATCACTTCCAGCAGGAGCCACTGGTCAGTGCTCACGGCCAGCAAGGGAGCTTGTACTATTTCCTTTTGGGGCTATCACATGCGATCAAATGCAGGTTCCAACTGACCTTTCTGATAATCGCAATGCACTAGAAGTACTTACCTGTCACTTCCAAACCTGAACTCGGCCCCCGAAAAAAAAAAGCGCCTCTTCACCCAAGCTAATTTCTCCTACACAAGAAGAGTCTTACTGAGTATTGTCTGCTTGCTAATGGGCAACTAAACAACAATAACCAGGGTCCTGTCTACTAAAGCTGAATTAGACATATGTCCAGGAAAATCACTTATTAATCCTCACACATAATGTTTTCCCATAAGATCACAATAAAATCTTATGAGCTACCTGTGTACCATTGCAGATGTTTGAAGAACACCCAAAGCCAGAGGCCTCTGACACAGTGAGCATGCTTGTCACTTGTTAAAAGGTAATGGTTGCTTTAGGACAGTAAGAGTCTGCTATGCATCTCAAGGACATGAAATGGGTGCTTATGGCAGAAAAGAAACATACCCCAACAACCAACTCTGTCACCAGCAGGACTTTCATTCCTTGCTAGAAGCAAAGTCTTAACCAGGCCCCAAAATAACCTCAAGTGTGCACTCCTCTTAAGCAGACATAAGAATTACTGTCAAATGAGCAACCCTTATATGGTTAACTGAGAAAAAAAAAAAGGGGCCTACAGCTCCTAAAAATATCTGATGAATTAATTCTTTTGTGTTCTCAGACTTCCGTTGAAGGCCTCATTCAAGAGAATGGCAGAGTTTTCCAGCTGCCAGGAGAAACTTTGGGTTATATTAATGGTGAGTTAACAGAACAATAAGCACCCACGCAGCAATCCCTGCTCAAACATAGCTGCGTCCAAGAGTTTCCACGTGTGGCTTAATGAATGTCATCACATAACACGTCACACCTCTTCTTGAGTGCGTAGCAACTCATAAATTTACTATTCAGTGTTTACATATACATTTATAGATAGTGAGTCATTCGCTTGAAAATATTTTTAAATTCAGCTTGGCATCTTATTTAAAAACACTTTTGTGATGCTTATATTTGCTTGTCACAGTTCGAAATACTCTAGAAACATTAGTTTCACTTCATTATGCCAAATAAAAACATTAGAAGTTGAAAGTACAAAGAATTTAGTGTGTATGCACTTTAGCAAAAGAAATGTTGCACCCACTCTTCAAAGACGGGCATGAGAGAGAGTCTAACTTTTCAAAAGTAAAAGGGGGCGGGCGGGCGGGCAGCACTACAACATAGCCAGTCAAGCTACCAGCTGGATCCCATATAGACATCAATTATAGTCCTGGCTTCTCTACTTCCACTCCAACTCCCTGCTAACATACCTGGGAAAGCAGTGCAGAATGGGCCAGATGTGTGGGCCCCTGCACCAGTGTGGGACACCAGGAAAAAGCTTCTGGCTTTGCCCTGGCCCAGCCATTGTGGCTACTTGGGGAATGAATCAGTGGACAAAAGACACCATTTTCTTTCTTTCTCTCTCTGTTTCTCCTTCTCTCTATAACTTTGCCTTCAAATAAATCTTAAAAAGAGAGAGAGAGAGAGAGAAATTTATATACTATGGGTAAATGACCCAGCTTTTATATTGTTATGGCTATTACATCAAAATTAAACTATTAAAATGAATATAATGTTAAAACTTAACAGGAACATGATTGTTAATTATTCTGATGCTAAATATTTACTGTTGTTTTGGAAGTTTCAACCTAACCACCTCATCCCCCAGCCCAAGAAGAAAATTATCATGCAGAGTGAGTGTGCTATCTTTCTGTAAACTCATCTTCCCCACAGCCAGCACATCCTGCCGGTGAATAATACTTTTAAATTCTTGAGTACAACTGAAGAATTCCCTCTTCTTCCAACTGTTGGCACATTTTGAGATGTGCTTATTCTTTCAAACTGAGTCATAACTAGACCAACCAAGAACTTGTGTCATGATTTCTTACCTCATATACAGCACTCAAGTCCCTGAAGAAAGTTTTGGCTCCTTCGAGCAAGGCCTCATTTTCTGGACACACCACAATATAGGCAACATCACGATGGCCCGCATATGGGTCCAACAACAGCCTCTCCCAAAATGGCAAGGAGAACGGTGAGATGGTGAGGAAGTCCTTGTCATAGCCCACCAGCAGTGTGGGGATGGGCAATGGCTCAGGAGATTCTTCTGAACCTAAAACAAGACCATAGTTAGCAGGCTACTTAAGAGTTTGTTTCCCACATTGTGGGAAGCTTAGAAATTACTGATGTTGGTTTTAATTCTGGCATCTGATATATCACTGCATGTTGACAAAACATGCTTAAAAGTATTTTTTTAAAAGATTTATTTGTTGGGCCCGGCGCGGTGGCGCAAGTGGCTAAAGTCCTCGCCTTGCACGCCCGGGATCCCATATGGGCGCCAGTTCTAATCCCAGCAGCCCCGCTTCCCTTCCAGCTCCCTGCCTGTGGCCTGGGAAAGCAGTCGAGGACGGCCCAAAGCTTTGGGAACCTGCACCCGCGTGGGAGATCCGGAAGAGGCTCCTGGCTTCGGATCGGCATAGTAGTATCGGCCCGTTGCGCTCACTTGGGGAGTGAATCATCGGACGGAAGATCTTCCTCTCTGTCTCTCCTCTCTGTATATCCGCCTTTCCAATGAAAAAATAATAAAAATAAATCTTTAAAAAAAAAAAGATTTATTTGTTTATTGGAAAGTCAGATATACAGAGAGGAAGATCTTTCGTCCAATGATTCACTCCCCAAGTGAGTGCAACGGCCAATGCTGTGCCGGTCCGAAGCCAGGATCCAGGAACTTCTTCCAGGTCTCCCACATGGGTGCAGTGTCCCAAAGCTTTGGGCCATCCTCAATTGCTTTCCCAGGCCACAAGCAGGGAGCTGGATGGGAAGTGGAGCTGCTGGGACTAGAACCAGCGCCCATATGGGATCCCAGGCATGTTCAAGGCGAGGACTTTAGCCGCTAGGCCACGCTGCTGGGCCCTTGCTTAAAAGTATTTTTAAATCATCTAATTAAATGGTCCCTGGAGAATAATGAGTCAGAACTTACAGATGTTCAAGGAAAAGAGGACAGACGAAAATAATTTCAAGTTATGTCATTTTCTTTATGACAAGCATCATGAGTCCAACCACACAGCAGACAAACCTAGAAGGCCACTCAGAGGAAATTGCAATGAAGGTGTGGAGGATCTGAGGACCTAGTACACAGGCTAAGCTGCCTGTGCCTGCAGGGTACACAAATTGGAAAGAACTTAAGCTGGCCAGAGACACTACCGTAGGTCCCACGTCCTGCCATCTTGTGGAACTGCTGCCAGGTGAGTGGTCCCTGCACGTGCTGGATGTTTTCCCAGGTCCTGCCCGTACGCTTCTTTTGGATGGCGTCTTGGAGAAAGGGCTGCAGGGACAACAGCATCCGAACCACATCTTGGGAGGACAGCATGCTGATGTCCAGCACTGGAAGGGAAATGAGAACAAAAAGGATAGAAGGGTCAGCACTGTCCTGCTCCTGCCATCATGATGGACCTCAATGATAGGTCATGACAAAGCCCACTAGTAGCTGGAATAAGACACTCAACTTAGTAATCAAAATGAAAGATATTTTTCTAAACTAGAGAAAACAATTGATGGTTCATCATTAAAAAAGGGGAATGTGGAGCCAGCATTGTGCCATGGTGGTTTAAGCTACCACCTGCAAGGCTGATACCTCAGGAGTACTGGGTTAGAGTCCCAGTTTCCACTGGGAAAGCAGTGGAAGCTGACTCAGGTGTTTGGGTCAGTGACCCAGCCCCAGTTGTTATGGCCATTTGGGGAAGAAATTAGCAAATATTATCTCTCTCTCTGGGTGTAATTTTGCCTTAAAAATAAATAAGCAAATAATTATTTTTAAAAAATCAGAAATGCGCTACTAGAGATAAAAGTTTAATTGAAGAACTGCTTTGAAGGGGAAAAAGTTAGGTCTCACATTTAACATCATGCAAATAATTTCCAAGCTTTTTAATAAAAAAAAAATTCTGAAAGTTCCGTAATTATTGCATTATTTTGATTCATAAATAGTAATGATTTGATGATATGATTGGAAGAAAGGATAGAAAAGCAGCCTTTAAAAGCTTACAAAAACATTCTCAAAATACAAATATACAAACACACACATACATGCAATGGCACATGGAAACACAGAAGCAGCACAGGATCCAGCCCTGCTGACCCCAGCCCCGTGGACTCTGGCTTCTGCAGCGGGAGTGAACCGCTGTCTTAAGACACTAACTGATAATTTGACACAACAGTCCTAGGAAACTAATATACGTATGTACAGTGCTGTTCTGTTTCTGTTTTTCAGTAAAACCAGAAGCGTATCGGTACTACCCACGCTCCTTCATTTATCGATATTAAAAACAAATACACAAAAGTGAAACAAAAAAGGAGGGGGATTCAGCAGACAATAATGAAGAGCCTAATTTGTTTTTTTTTAAAAAAAGTATTGTGCTTGAGCAGGTAGAAAAACGAAGGATAACCTTATAATATTGTTTGAAGAGCTTCTACCTCCAAGAAGCCCTTTTTCCTTGGTCTCCACAGAAAACACCTGTCATTCCCTACTCCACTGACTCCCATCTCTGACCTTTTTTCAGATTTCAGACCACATTTAGAAGAACAACATACAATACTCCCTTCTCTGCGCCATCCCCACACACCCCTTGCCAGACTGAACTATTCAGAGGCAGGATCTATGCTTTACGCAACCCCCTTTGCACTCAGGACTCTTCTGACACTGCTATACACAAACAGCTCTCTCTGAGCTCAAAAACTCTATCTTAAACTTCTCTGAAATGGCTCAGCGGCACTTTCACACTCACTGACTCTTCCCGATTTCATCAAACGCTGCTTCATGCTGGATTCCCCTCAGCCTCTTCCCTCTCTTCTTGTCAATGAGCCCCTACTCCTCTTCCTGGTCCCATCAGAATGCAGCTCAGCTCTGGCCCAGCTTTCTGCTCATTCTGTTTTCTCCCTTTCCTCGTCACCTGTCCAAGAATCCCACTGCCTTGAGCTCTTGAGATTTCTGTAACTTGCGACACAATTTCTAATATTCTTCCCAGCCCCAGTGTTCCCCTAGCATACCTTCTCTGACCACCATTTCAAATTCTTGCACAAAGTTACCAACCTGGCAGTAACACTTTCTGAGCATCTCTTGAATGCTTCCACCACTTCTCCACCCTCTTTACAAGCTATTATCTCTTATTCGAACTACCTCAGTAGCTACCTACGCTTCCTAAGTCCATTTATGTCACATTCTAACCCACACCGCATTAGAAGCAGACTTACTATGTTTTTTCCTTAGTTAACCCAGTTATAACATACTGGTCTCCTATTAAAACTCTTCAGTGACGTTACCATTCTTTAGATAAAGACCCAACCCCCAATATGTCTCAAAAGTTCTTTGTGATCAAGCTGGTTTCAACCCCTTGAGAGCCCCAGTCCATGGAACTCTGGGCCTTCACACTTGCACTGTTTTACATCTGGGGCACAAGAGCAGCTCCTTTTTCTTGTCACTCAGTTGATGAATACTCATCCCTGAGATCTCAGAGCAACTGTCACTACTGCTTAAATCTTCCCTAATCTCCAGACCTGGAGACCCAACCCACCTATCATCATCCCTTATACTAATTTGTAATAATGCGCCTACTGATGTAATCATCTGATTGACATCCATTTTTCCAGAACAGAATGCAGAGCTCACAGCAGCAGGTTGCCTCCTTCAGCCACCATTTCCCCGAGGATGCATCACAGTTTAGACAGTAAATGAACAAGCAGAGAACACAGCAAGGTGTCTGATGCTCTCAGAGTCCCAATTCCAAAAACGTGTCAACTGGAACATTTAATAACAGAAGAGCGAGCAACATGCCCCATTAACCTTAAGTAAATGTGCTAACTGATCTAAGAGATGGTAAGCCATAGCAGAGAGAAAATACTTTCGTAAGTGAGCAGCCGCTTTTGTGGAAGTGGTATCATGGAAACATCTTGACGAAAGGCTGGAGTTACACATGTAATGGGGTGCAGATCCACAGTTTGTATACTCTAAATGAGTTGCATATTTCCATATTTACAAATTAACACAGGAGAAAACTGTCATAAAATAATAACTCTTCTTCAAAGGCACCACAACCAAAAACATTTCCCCAGATCTTACATGTAGCATTGAAGGAAGGCAGCACTTAAAAATGAAACTTAAAATTTTGGTTATATAGCAAAGTCAAGAAAGATTTCACATTAGCATCACACCAAGACCCTTTGAAGTCGGTTTCTGTTCCAGGCCACCTACCATTGCTATGAGGCCAAGAGTGCACAGTGGCACTTCTCACAAGAGCTTCGTCCACTTTTCCACCAGTGGGATTATCCACGTATTGCCGGCCCTGCTCCAATGCGTTAAAGCATTCTGTCCAGTAATCATTGTTATCTGCTTGCACCCGGTCGTAACTCCAGCTTACACAGGGAAGAGTTTGGCGATTGTTAGAAGAAATGTAGTCCAAGAAACTAAGAGAAGCAAAAGGTTGTGTGTGTTGATCCTGGAGGAGGAGGAGAAGGCTATTGGGTGGCTCCGGGGGTTTTCTGGCTCCCTCCACCTGAGGAAGAAAGATGCCCTGACACATCATTAAGCGCCTCTCTGCAGCCTGACCAATATCAGAGTTCTTCCCAAAAATATCCAGCTCATCTTCCAGGAAGAGTCCTGAATTGTAGGCAAGTTTGCGGTTCATGATGGCACTGAAGCCGCAGGTACAGCGGTACTGGTCCTCGTTGGAGGAGTCAGGGATGTAAAGGCCGACATCTGCCCCTTTGATGTTCATGTTGCAGGCACAGATGCAACAGCTGTCAAAGTTTCTGTCTTTAAAGATATTCATGACAGAATCAGACAGGATCAGGGTGACATACAGACTGTGGGCTTCAGGAATTGGCTGCATGGTGGCAGGCTCCACAGAGTTGAGGGGCCGTGTTGTAGACGGTGTAGAGGCTGGTGACCCCTGATCGGTGCTGTCATACTTCACAGATCCCTGACCACTGGCAGTACCCCCACCTCTGGGAGTTCTTGGGGTCCTGGGGGTACGTGGGGTAGGGACAGAGAAGCGAGGGGTTGCTGGAGATGGAAGGACTCCTGCCCCACTGCTGCTGGGTGGAGCAACGCTGCTCAGCGTCACCGGCGTGCTCATCTGTGGTGTGTTCAGAGAGTCTGGATCGGCTTGGCTTCCAACACTAGGCACATTACTGCAACAGACAGAAGGGAAGATGTGAGAGCGGAAGTGTGCATTGTGGAAGCCAAGTCTACACATGGTCACGTCAACTCCACAATACACATTCCTGTACCATAGGTGTGATCACTTGGTAAATGCAATTTGTCCTTTAAGAAAAGATTCAGAGCAGTCAGCACAGTGTGTGCAGAAACAAGAAGCAAGAAATGATAAATATGTAAACATATACTTTCCTTCTACTCATTCCACTTTTAATCAATTCCCATCTGAAACTTTTGACAATGTCATACAATTTGTGTGAGAAAACATGACGTTGGCTTTGGTCAATTTAATTCTGAGAAGTTGTAACTGCTAAATGGAGCTTCAGCACACGAGTTCGGATGCTAAATTAACTGTAGGACCACAGGATAAAATTTCCATCTAATTTGCAATTACACTTTTATCATTTTTTTAAAATTGAAAGTCTGTTGCTTCACTTGCTCTCTGAGGCTATAATCTAACTATGCTCTTGGAATAGTTATAATCAAGTACATGTAAAAATTTAACATCTTTTTTTCTAATTTTCAAATTGTAGCCTAGAGGTAAGCACTTGGCATGGGGGTTAAGACATCACTTGGGACACCTGTATTCCATGTCAGAGCATCGAGGTTCAGGTCCCAGCTCCACTTCTGATTGCAGCCTTAAACTGGTGTGGAACCTGGTAGAAGCAAGGGAGGAGCATGGGTGGGAGTAACACTGACTGTCCAAGTAGCTGTCATCCACATAGGGGAATGGATTAGCAGGTGGGGGATAATCTCTGACTCTGCATTCCAAGTGAACAGTATAAAGTTTTTCAAAACTGCAGCATCATCTAAGGTTACATTTTTACACTAATAAGTGACTCAGGGGAATTCAATTTTAGGTAACTCAATACCATACTGTGATTAATAGGAATGCTACATATGCTGCTACAATGCCTTAGGGCTCAGCAAGCAGTGACAGAGAAAGGCACATGTCCCAGCAGATGTCGTGGGGCAGCACACACCTCTAGTTTACTTTTACTATTCACTACGTTCTGCATTCTGTATTACACAATTATTTTTACTTCCTGGGACCAGCTGTGTTATATTACACATTTTCTCCCAACTAAAGTCTTTTTGGGGGGATCAAATAGAAAACATCACCATAGAAGACAAAAAACAGTATGTGTAACATGCTGCCATTCTATTCTTATCAAACCTTTTCTTGAAATACATTTTTATACATATCAAACAATGTATGAGCCCATTCTTGCCACCTAGCAAGTATCAAGAAAAAAAGATGTGATGACCCTTCAATTAATTATATGTTCATTCAATTACTTTTTCAAAATGCTTACTCAAATGATTTCTTGTGATTGTTAAGTAAAAATGTCTTAAAGATCCAAACTAGATACTATAAAGAAATGTCAAATGTAAGTCATGGTGTTATCTCTGAATATATATAAAAAGTGAACCAGAAAGCCTGATTCACAATCACTAGTTTTTCAGAGAAAATAATTATACAAAATAATTATGTGTGTAATTATGACCTTTACTTTAATTGAACTCCATATACATTTACCTGCCAAAGAAAATCCTAAAATTCTTATGCAGTTGAAATCAGAGAAATATGACTATTATCTGAAAACCTAAAGAATTAAATTGCTCTCTAGATAAATGACCTAAGTATCCACGCTACAAGCTGGATAATCAACACTGACAAAAAAGAAGTTAGCTCATAAGTAAAAAGAGCAGATATCACACAAGTGACTGCAGGTGTGGCAAATATGACAAAAATGCAGAGGAATGGAGACTGAAGACCACATCAGCAGGACCAGAAGGAATCTACAAGTATATGGTCCAATCCAGTAGCCATCAGGCCCATGCACTAAGCTTAAGTGAAACGAAAGCTTCAGTCTTGGTCTCATCATCCACATTTCAGGTGATCCAAAATGACAACATGAGGCTAGTGCCAACCATTCTGGACAGCACAGATAAAACACCTCCTTCATCACTGTAAGTGAGGTGGATACGGAGGATCTTTACGATGGCAGATGTGCTAAATCTAAATAACCATCTACTGTACTTGAACCAGCAAATACCAAGACTTACATGCGACCTTCCACAGGAACCTGTGAACACATCAGATGGTTTCCTGATCTTACAACTGTTGACTGCCAATTTCACCCCCGTGTGCCAAGCTGTTCTCTAGCTTTGTGTCCTGGTATCTAGTTAAGTAAGCTAGAGCTCAAGTGGATCTCTAGCATTACTAGACAAGTCAGGAAACCTAGATGGTTCTGGGCATTCTCTTTCACACTGCTGGGGAGCTGTTGTTCCCACAGCCATTAGTGGTTAAAGCATTTGAAAAGTCTTGTGAGTGTAAGACTCGGGTAAAATGAACACACAGAATTTAAGAAAGCAGCAACTTAAGTCTTGTAATTCTGTGACTGTAGCTTACTGTGTAAGGTCTTGCCTGTTACAGTTCTTCATTCTAACACAAAATATACAAGCATGATGACTGATGATGACAGTGAAGTTGATTTCAGCAAGATGGTTTTATATTAGGTTGCAAACATGTGGCTCACAGACTGGGTCTGGACCACAGATCTCTTCTCAGTTTCTTCAGTTTATCTTACCTTTGTATCACCTATCAGCATTTTTATTAAATTTACATATCCAGAGTTCCACTCACTCAAAACCAGGAAGTTCTGATCACGCTAACAATATTACTCCTGCTTGACAACACTCTACAACTGAATGGCAAACGTCCCTCCCCATGGGGCAATGAATCCCCTCATGTTTACTGCCCCCATGATGCCAAAGAGCAACCGCAGTGCCAAGTCCTTTTGTGCTTACTCAGCCCATTTCATCTACACTTTTCCATGCTGTACACTCTGTCAGTATTCTGTGGCCACTTTCTCACGTGGCATGGAGTCAGTGACAGAAATGATCTAGGTTAACATTCCATTTTAAACCATAACTTCAGGGACAGACATTCGGTAGAGCAAGTAAGCACTTTTCAGAACGCTTGTAATTCTACACTGGTATGTTTCAGCTTGAGTTCTAGTCCCATGCTGCATTCCAGCTTCCTGCTAATGCAATGCCCTTGCACACAACAAATGAGATCTCAGCTACATCCCTGGGATCGATGCTAGCCATAAGGCAGACCTGGTCTGAGCTCCTGGCTCCTCACTTCAGTCTGTCCCAGCCCTAGCTGTTGCAGGCATTTGAGGAGCACATGAGTAAGTAGTGAGAAACCCTTACTCTGTATCTTTCTGCCTCTCAAGCAACTTTTTTTTGAAAACTCACTTAAAATTAATTTTTTTTACCACTACTAGCAAAAGAACATTACTAACCTCATCTAATCTATTGATGTTACGACAGACATCAATTTAGCATGAAAATAATGGTGCTCTATACAAATGACCTCAATTTTCCCCAATTGTGGGGGGGGGGTTAGAAATTTCTATTTTCAATTTAAAATAATGTACGCAAAAGTATGGATAGTGAATTTAAAAAGCTTCAAATGATATGCTAATGTCTAATTTTTAACAATTAGGTTCCTGATTAAGGATAAAAATGCTATCAAATAGAGAAAGTAACTGAAACATACTTGTAGCCATCTCTAATGAAAGTGGCTGTAGGGGGCATGGGCAGTTGTTCAATTTTAGGAGGAATCGCCCACGAAGGCCGAAACAGACAGGCATCAGGTATCTTCAGAGGTAGGAGGCAATGGCTCGGCAACATCTTCAGTGGAGCAAACATGGAGGACCCCACAAAAGGTTGAAATTGTGGAACTTTGTGCACATAAGAAAAATCCTGTGGTAACAAAACTGGGTTAGTACTGATGGTCATCAGCTATGCAGGACACATAATTACACAGGAACTACAATGAGACAGCAGACAAAATGACTGCTACTCAGTATTTCTCTTAGCAATAGAAAAATGATAATATCAACTATTTAAGTTAATTAAAAGACAATACAACCAATATAACAAATGATATACCTCATGCTCCAAATGAAAGGATCCTTAAAGTACATGTAGCTATAATATGGCACATGGATAAAACCAATAAGAATTAACCTGAAAGCCATTGGGCCTTAGGAAAGATAATCTACTGACAGCTAGTTACCTTTATTTCCTCTGGCTTGGGACTGCCTAGACCATCTTCCACTTCCATTTTAAATTCTGTCAGTTGTGTTGAAGCAATACTGACCATTGGGCTCTCCATCATGCCTAATGCTGTTACTGTCTCGGAGCTGATCCCATCTTTATAATTCATCACAGGAGAGAATGCAGGATGCTGTTCCAGAGATGGAGGAGTGGGAAACATCCTTTGCAAGTCTGCAACTGCTAAAGAAAACCACAAAATCTTTTAAAAGTCAAGACTTCCAAAACATCCTAGTTCATAGCCAGGGACCTAATTTGGCACCAAAAGCAATGCTAAGTGAATGGCCACAGTGACTACACAACAGAATATTAACAAGGGAAGTATCATCCTTTCCAGGAATTTTACCACAATTCTCTTAATGCTTCATAAATTGGCTTCACAGTAAGTGAAGAGTCAACATAACATACATTTTCTCCACAAAATTATGAAGTATATGATGATGAATCAGGTGAAAACTGGAAACAATACATGCAATAACCCCATTATTAAAAGTTCTTTCCCTGATTCTAAGTATAGATGAAATATTAGGGAAAATGAAAGTTGTTTAGAACCATAATAGTGGCCTATTTATCACAGGATTACTCAGTACTGTTGCGGAAAGAGTTTCAAACTCTTTACAGACTGACATAAAGTAAAACTTCATAGCTAACAAAAGGCTTTTTACTGAAAATGAAGGAAAAATAAGGAAATGCAAATATTTTAGTAAGTACTAAGAACAGTTATGCCTGATCCTTTTACTAAAAGTTATCATATACCTTAGGTATTCACGATCTCTAATAATGGTTCATTAAGGCACTAAGCCTTAAAAAGCTGAAGGATATATATAATTTGGCCACCAGGGGGTACGCTGTTCAGCAAATGATTGAGTTTGGAGCCACAAGTTCACAATCCACAATTCAGAACATCATTTAATGTTCCCACTTCTTACACAATCATTCTTTCTAGCAACTTTAGCATTAAATTGGGCAAATAGATCTGACTTCTGGCTCCTATCAAAAATTAATGCTAAAAAATTGTCCCCTGTTTTGTCCTGTGCTATAGTGTAAACAGAACCAAGTAATGAATGCAGAAGGGCGGATACTGTGACGCAGGCACTAAGCACTAGTCCTTTTAGCAAAAATTCTTAGGGAAGACTTTCAGCCTCAACTGCAAATGGGAATAGTATCTAAGTCATGATGAGATGGCATGCACAGGGAAATAAACATTTTGCCACATCATCTGGACATTAAGTGATGAAATCAGCAACAAATCGGCCCACACTCCTAAATTTGGTTTCACTGCACAGAACTGCTGTTAAGTCACAGGGAATTTCTGAAAAGAACTGACTTTAAAGAAATTTTGAATTGATCAAGGGGAATTAGACTCAAAGTGGGTAAGGCAAAGTGAAGCTGGAGGCCCAAAGAAGCACTGGGTCTGCCAAAACAGAAGAAGTAATTTCCTTCTCAGAGAATCACTGCAATGGGTAGACGAGAGTTGGAGAATGGGCTGGAGCCACGCCATCCTGCTCGCTGCACTTAGCATGTTCCTCCGTCCTTCTCCTTCAGGATGTGCTGCAACAGCTCAGGCCCATGAGGCCAGCAGGCTCCTCTGGCACTGACTTCCTGTGCTTTATTTCAAATGTATTAATTTCTACAATGTACATTTTATCACTGAATACTGAATAGCTTCTTTTTAAATAAAAAGGAGGGGTGGTCATTTGCGCTAGCAAGTCACATGCCATCTGGGATGCCTGCATGCCACACTGGAGTAGACAGGCTCACATCTCGGATCCAACTTCTGACTACAGCTTAGGGACTGGCACTGCGGAAGGCAGCAGGTGATGGCTGAACACAATTCAGCTCCTAGCGCCTCCAAAGGCAAAGCTGGACAAGTTCCTGGCTCCTAGTGCAGCACAGCCTCAGCCCTTGCAGCTGCAAGCATCTGCTGAATGAACTCACTTGCACACTGTTTTCTCTCTTCCTTTCAAAAAAATTATCATTTTTTTAAAAGGCAACAAGGAGAAAATACACAGTAAATAACACAGTGCACCTTACTAGCACGACACAAACAAGCCAGGTATTTCCAGTAAACAACATTGTAGAAGTTATCAGACATGGTGACATTTCACACCACTAGTCTCATTTCCTATCAATGAGCACAATGGATTAACTAAATGAAAACAGAGGATGCAACATCACTCATCGGACCTTCTCCATTGGTATCTATTTTACTATTTTTTTCTACTAATCTGTGAAGTTCCATGTTTGTAAAATTCTGCAGTGCAGAGTAATAAAAAAAATGTTTAATTAGAAAAACTACAGCAACTGGCTGGCTATCATTATTCATTTTCATCCACGTCATGCTTGAGAAAGCTTTGCATATTTTACAAAGCTATGGATCCACTAAAGCTGTCAAAATCCAATCTCTGTATACTTCCCACTTCCACATTTGAGTAAATCAGCACTACATTTATGGGTTCATAAAACTTTTTGACTCATCCCTATGACATGGTGGTTTTTCCCCTCAATTTGTTCTCATTACCAGCTGAAGTTAATGAGAAGGTATTCAAGAATGATTTGCCAAGGAATCCTGTTTCTGCTTCAGCATACTCACCGCAGCTACCCAACCTTTCTGCCCTCTTCTAGAATAATACAGTTTTACTCATGGCAAAGGAAAAAAAAAAAAAGGAGTTTTTGTTTTTTTAAGGGTTTGCCTCTTTTTGTCAGCACACATAATAAATCTAGCTTATTTTAAAAGGAACACAAAATCTTTAGTATGAATCTAAAGAAAAACCACAGAAAACAAATACTCATTAAACAAGGCAGGCTAGGTTGGTTCAACAAGCGAATCTTCCACCTTGCAGCGTTTGCATCCCATATGGGTGTTAGTTCTAGTCCTAGATAATCCACTTCCAACCCAGCTTCCTACTTATGTTGGAAAGGGAGAAGATGGTCCAAGTTCTTGGGTCTCTGTACCCATGTGGGAGACCGAGAAGAGGCTCCTGGCTCCCAGTTTCAGCTCCAGCCTTTGCGGCCATTTAGGGAGTAAACCAGCACATGGAAGACCCCTTTTCTCTCTATAAAATCTGCCTTTCAAAGAAAAAAAAAATCAATAAATGTTTAGACTCATGTTTAGACTCATCCCTATGACATGGCGGTTTTTCCCCTCAATTTGTTCTATATTTTGTCACCAGGGAGACAAAGAATGAAGACTTCAGGACAAAGCACCAATTGACACAAGAACATTAGATGTAAGTGCGGGCAGCGTCGATTTCCTTCACTTACTTGGTGGGTAAGGAACAGCAGCTCTTCCATCCTTCCCCAGAGGTCGGTCTTCTGTCCCAACCGCAGGCATTTTAGATGAACGCAGTGCAGGTGACACAGCCTAAGAAGAGACTCTGCTCAATAAAACCAAGCGACATATCTGCATGCAAACTGAGCAGTACTCTCGAACCCCGCTAAATGCATCTCTACTGATACTTTAAAAGGAAAGTGTTTACAAAGTAGACTTTAGGAAAACCAGTATCCAGAAGATACTGGAACAAAGATGATGCTTATCAGTTTACCAAGAGAAGCCTCAATGTGTCTATCTTTCTCAGATCTTTTGTGGAAACAAAATTAAGCTGGCAGAGCCTAAGCAAATGTTCCTTCCCAGATCATTAGAAAAGTATTTTCAAAGACATGATGACTCCATTAAGGTGGAGTTTTTAGCAGTTAATGGCCAACCAACTGCTCTGGTTTCCCTCCTGTCTGCAAACAGGCAGCTGGGGACGGGGAAAGCCTTCAAAGCCCTGCATTATTGTTTCTTGCCACAACAAGTCACGCATTTGCTCTGCCTACTTCAACAGTTAGTGTTCAGCTTCACAAACATGCAAAAACAGTATTTCACAAAATTATTGAAACATTCAGATAGTCTGGTCTGTTATTCAACACAAACCAAGTACCTTACTAAGCAAGTGTAACTTACAGAATAATTAATGACGAACAAAATAAAGTTAAAAAAAGGGAAAAAAGGATTCTTACAAATAAAAAGCTTTCAAGAAGTAGATTTCTACTCATTAATATAACAGAGGTAGAAACAGGTGAGATTAAAATTTGGCCAACTGTCTTCTAATTCCAATTACTGGAAAGATGAATTTATAACAGAGTCTAAGGTAAACTGCCCATGTGATTAAATGCTAGATTAGAAATCTGAGTAAAGCAAAAATACATGCTTCACAGAAACTAAAATCTGATTTAAAGATGCCCAACCTTCCTTTGTATATTAACAGTACTAAAAACATATTCCAAAAAATTGCTCATTTCTTAAGTCTAATACCAATCCAAAACTTATTAGGGAACAAACCCAATGGTCCAGGGTCTACACAAGGACCAGTATGCATGGTAGCCACAACTACCACGCCATTCTTCCTTTCCCATTTCCATTTCTTTGATTTGTGATTCCTTTTCTTTTCATACTTTGCATTCCTACTACCACAGTCAAAGCAGTTGGCCCATCCCTGACAATTAACTAATGCCAACCAGTACTCAGCTTCAGAGAGGAAATCAATTTAAAAGTGTCATTTTTTTCTAACTGGAGTTTTTTTTTACACTGCTGTGTCCTACCAGGTGCTGGCAAAACTCAAGCCCTGGTGTTCTAATCCAACAAAAGTTATCAAACAGGACCCTTCTGTGTACTAGACTAATCAAACACAGTTCTATCAGTTCAGGGCACATTCCGCAGCACTGGGAGAAACACAGTAGTAATATACTTTGAAGTCCAATAAAACATTTTCTAACTCAATCTCTTTCTACATACCATCACATCACTAAACAGAGCAAAGGTTTTTCATTATCCCCAATCTAGTTCATTCTTGGTGCTTATAAGGTCTCGCTGGGGTGTTTGAGGGGCAGCCCAGGAGGGGGTCAAGACAGGTGACTGATAAAAGCCAGGATGTAAGCGTGCAGCCCGTCCTCAACTGAGCAGTGAGGCATGGAATGACCAAGCTGGAACCTATACTACTCCACAGCACCAACTAAGGAGCCTTACAGCGCTTAATCAATTACACACACACACACACCCCAATGTCTCTCCCTCCCACTAACTGACCCCAATTTTTCCACATTTCAAGTCAAATTCAGTTTTTCAGGCCAATATAATCACATCATTATCTAAGCACCTATAATTGGAATAGTATATAATACCCACTAGTTGGACAGATTTTATTGAAAGTCAGACTAGCTTTATAATATGATCCTTACTTAATCCTCACGTCTTACACACTACTTCTTTGCACTTGAATGTCTGGCCTCTTTAGATTCTGGCCCATCTCTGGGTCCACAGCAGTAAGTACTGCCATTTTACTTATAAGTATGTTAGCACCTCAAGTGGTAGAAGAGTGGTGATTTCATCCCATTTGTAACTTTTTTGATTAGCCTCAGTACCTGGCACAAAGGAATTGAATACCATGTGATTCACAATTCGTGTAGATGAACGGATGGGGAGGCCGACTGACGGAAAACACCTGAGTGCTCTATCTTATACCTCTCAAGCTCCTCCAGGAAGACAAGCACTTAGCTAGAATATTCAGGCCATCTTCCAATAATTTTAGTTCTACCTGGCACACTAATCACACGACACCTCACATGATTTAAATTCTGTGTGTACAAATTCTGCTTTCCCACCACAATACCATGACACTCAAAAGCAAGGACTGTACTTGCATATTTCTCAAAGTACAGGAGCAGGCACTGTGGTACAGCCAGATAGGCTGCTACTTGGGGTGTCAGCATCCCCTATCAGCTTAGTTTTAAGTCCTTCAGTTCTGCTGGAGTTCCTGGTGTTGCTGCTTGGGAGGCAGTGGGGACTCTCCCAGGGAGTTCTAGGCTCCTGGCACTAGCAAGGCATTTGGGAAATAAACCAACAGATGGAAGATATCTCTCTGCTTCCACCTTGCTTCCCCTAAGTTGCCCTGCATTTCAAGTAGATGAGAATAATTAAAACAACAAAAAAGGAAACAGCTCCAAACTTTAAAAATAGTAGACTAGTATTCTGGCTTATTAAAAGAACAAAAATTTTTATGGCAGTATTTTTAAAATTGTGAATAAGGGGATTGATTATATGTTTTGATTGCCCTCATAATATTTACAAGGATTAAAATAAATGTGAAAGATTTTAATATTTACAACTGGAATAACACTAATGAAGTCGTGTCAACCAAAAGATCGCAAGAAGAGTCAGGACACTAACTTTGCGACTACTTTCCAAAGCACACAGAGCACATTCAGAGCCTGAAGTCCCCAAGGTCAGCAGGCTAAACTAGAAAGAAACACAGACACCAACAGAAAGAGCAAAATGTTCGGATGTGTGGCTCTGGACGACTCACCCCAAGCTCCTCGTCATCGGAATTATCAAAGATGTTGTCTAAGTCATGAAGGGAAGGTGCCAAATCAGTCACCTGTGTAAGGCTACTGGAGCCAGCTCTGCCAGCAGCGTTATCCTGCCGGACATCTGTAAGAAAGGAGGCAAAGAACCAGAGTAAACAGCTTTACTGGGTGAGGGCGGGGGGCGGGGGAAGGGAGGGACACGGGTCTCAGTGAACAAGACCTGCCTGAGAATGTTTTCCCTATGGTTTCATGTTAGATTTTGACAATTATTTCCAAATATGTCTATCTGTTTTGAAAGAAACTGAAAAACTATGAAAAATACACTATAGATGAAGTCAAATTACTGTTATGGCAGTAAGAATATAATTTTTAAATAGAGAAGCATCTCCCTTGCATTTTACTTTAGCAACAATCCAAGTGAGCAAATAACCATTGTACACACCTGTTTTAGTAGCAGAACTGAAAATAGACATGGCATTTTTCCCATCAGGCACCGGCGTGGAATGACCTGGTGTAGTGACATCCTTGGTACCAAATCCATCCTCTGACTGTATAATAAATTCAGCCAAACAAAGCACATGAACACCAACCCAAAGTGTGGAATATGAGGGAGAACACAAAGAATTAGAGGGCAGAATGGAACTTGTTATGAGCACAAGTATGATAAACCATGGTCTATGCAACCAAAGGGAATCAAAGGTACGTTCTTTCTCCAGGTATTCAACGGAACCAAGAACTCCCCCTCTTTCCTCTCAATCCTGTGGGGTATGCTGAGAGAATCAGTGTTTGACACTTCAACGGTACTGGCGGCATTTGATTAAGACTGGCCACGGTGTTCAAAGCTGCCTTTAATAACATGGTAGTGGCTGAATTGCAGATATTGACAAATGTCTGCAAAGGAATCTAAAAAGCATTACCCTAAGCTATACAGGTCCCTTAAAATTTTTCCTCTTATTTTCTGGAATATTTCTTTCAGTGGCTCAATAGTTTCGAACTTCAAAATTTAAAGGCAAAGACAGCAGACACACCCAGTACTCACTTCGATGACAGCAGAACAAGTAAAATAATACTGACAATCTATGGGTAGTGCAGATATCCAGAGAATACAGAGGTACAGCGCTCGATACAGTAAGTATAATAGGCGCTCAATAAATCATATACATTGTAGTCAACATTTTTTCCTTCACTTTTTGAATCTTTTGGAACAATATTTTAAAAAATAAGCGGGAGCATAGGCCAACAAGAATTAGCATATGAGAGGAAACATGCACTGTACAAGCTATAGCCTGGGAAAATATGAGGCTTCCTTTATGTTCGGCTGACTTTTAAACAAAGGTGAGCCATGACATAAAAAGGAACAATACGCTGTTGGATACAATAGTACCAGGAGCATGAGTATGGGGACAGAGCAGTCAGGCAAGACTATCTCAAACACTCTGCTTCAAAATCTCCCCAAATATGGTACTGACAAAAATAAAGACCCACACTGTGCAGGAAGCTCTGTGTTAAGTGTACCTTATTTTTCTTCAAAGACTCTTTCTCTGCCCCTTGTTTGCATTTCTTATTTGCTGTGAAAATGTACTTTATGTCACCATCCTCGAAGGTGTAGGGGTCATTGGCTTCTCCCAGGCCATCTCCAGGTTGTTGTGAGAGAGGCAGCGGGTCGGGGAAGTGGAGCGGCTGAATCTGAGGCTGCTTCTCTCGCCAGATTTTAAACCGTTTGTTAGGTTGTGCTAAGAGTCTGAAAGGAAAAACGTGACAACTGAAACAAGGCAAAACAATATTTTTAATGAAATGCAACATTTATGATTTAAAGCACCTGTTGGGGGAAACTAAGTTTTACAGAAAAATTTTCTTTACATTAAATTTGTGAACATATAAAACTGAATGGGCTCTGTCAAGAATATATGATTTTGTGTCTGATTTCAAGGATTCCCCTTTCCCAGCACCACCTGTCTAGGATCATCTGTGGCTCTTAGTAACTGCATGACCCAAGTCCCTGAGGTACAGAATTCACATAGCAACACAGTTATAGTGAGGACTCAATAAATTGATATAGATAACAAATGGCTCAAAAGCAGTATAAATATTAATAAACATAAACATTAGTAAATATAAACAAACATAAATAGTAGAAACATCACAACAAACTGCCTGAATTCAGACAAACTAGCTTCCTCATGGAGTCAGCATAAGACTAAACCACTGAGAGCAAACTGTGATGTTTCTTAAAGCTATACTCTTTGACTAACAGAAGGTCTAAAACACACTAATACATACTAAACATTCAAACGTCACAATGAGACTTTATATGTCAGAGTGTTTAAATAATGCCATGTGTGCTAAACCTCATAACAGACAGACAAGGCATTTGGTTTCTATGCGCGTAAACTGGAATGAGGAAGCAACCCTGCTTTCATTTTGAGTCTAAAAGTATGACAGGCACGGTCAGGAGGAGGCCTCGTTCCCACAAGTCTATGCCTCGCAGGGAGGACAGGTGGGTGCTGGGGTAGTCACCTTACCTTTGCAATGCAGTACTCTCTGAGTTCACCTCCATTTTGGCATCACATCTCTCACCCTGGAGCTCTGGAGGCCTGAACTCAACATCATCACTGGAAGGGAGACGAAAACTATGCCACCACTTCTCTGATGACTCTGGGTTCGAGGGCCTGATCCCACAATACAAGGCTGTCTCGCTGACCTCTGCCATGAGAGGCAGTCTTTGGCCTATGAGGACAGTTCTGTCATCCAGAGTAGACAGCTGCTGCAGTTCCAGACCGTTTCCATAGAGGGCTGAGTTCACAGGGACAGACGGTGGGTCCAAACTCTCCGTTTCCTGACCTCTTGGCTGAGGGCTAAGTGTCGGTGGCAACGGGGAGATAGGGGAATGAGGTGAATCCTCAGGATTCAGATTCATTTGCTTGCTCGTAGTTCTGGAAGGCACGGCCATTTGCTTCCTACTGCTGGACACCTCTAGGGAGGAGTCTACTGCCAACCCTAGCTTCTGTCCTGCTGTATCCTGCTCCATGCATAACTCTTCAGCCACAGAGGGCCTGTGGTGAAATGGGATCAATGGTCTCTTTTGCAATTTGTCTCCTTTTTCCTGTCTTTCCGTTGTTTTGTGCTTTGAAGAAGCAGGAGGTGGTAAAGATGAAGATGATGATGGTCCTGCATTGAACCCTGGCTGAGATATCGTGGGAGTTCGATTGGGTCCTGTTGCACGTTTTAAAAGTTTATGCCTAAAATTACAGTTAAAACCAAGTCAAAAAATACACAAATAAATATCACTATATACCACTATAACATAACAAAAAAGGACCTCTAAGATACGTTTTACAACTAAAGAGTTCTGGATCTTAAATATATATATACATATATAAATGACAGAAAGCTGCAATCCACTCTGCGGGAAAAAAGAGTCAATCACATACATCTCAACAGGTAAGAAATAGACTTAGCAAGAAAGAGAAATGAACCCATTCCTAACTGTTATAACATTACTAATTGGAAAAAAAAGATTAACATCATTCAATTTGGGGAGGGCTTCAGCTAAGGCATTCATAATGCATCTTCAGATCAAGACAGTAGAATCATGAGATCACATTTCAGGAAAAAAAAAAAAAACAAACAGAAAATTTCCAAGTTCTATTTTACAGTATTCAAATACAGAATGTTTCCAACGGCTTGTAGAGTTGAAAACTAGAAATAAATAAATATGTATGTAACTCTCCCCCTGGAGTGTGAACTACAATGGTAAGGGTCAATCATAAGAACATTTAGCAGGATAAATGTACTGGAAACTTGGTATGCCACTGCTTCCAATGACAGCTTTGGATCTTTCTTTTTTTTAAGATTTATTTATTTTTATTACAAAGTCAGATATATAGCTAGGAGGAGAGACAGAGAGGAAGATCTTCAGTCCAATGATTCACTCCCCAAATGAGCGCAACGGCCGGTGCTGAGCCAGTCCAAAGCCAGGAGCCAGGAACTTTCTCCAGGTCTCCCACATGGGTGCAGGATCCCAAAGCCTTGGGCCTTCCTCGACTGCTTTCCCAGGCCACAAGTAGGGAGCTGGATGGGAAGTGGGGCTGCTGGGATTAGAACCGGTGCCCATATGGGATCCCGGAGTGTTCAACACGAGGACTTCAGCTGCTAGGCCACGTTGCTGGGCCCAACAGCTTTGGATCTTACAGATGCACATTAAAACTCAGAGAAAAATAAATGGGCTATGATATGAGCTAACATTCACACACACACATACACTCACACATATATACACATGCACATACACCTGGACCCATGGAACAAGAACACCAAGTCTTCTCAGATGATAACATGGTTCTTGGCAAGAACAGGTGTGAGAAATGGCTCAGTAAGAGCCCACCAGATGATGCCAAGGTTTAATCTGTGCCACCAAGTTATACAGCACGCTAGTCAGTGCCTCCCAATATATAAATCATTCCTAGATAAAAATGGAAGCTCTTCTGCTGTGTAGCAGTAACTCTCCAAGGCCACTAGGGTGGCATTAAATTACTACTTCATTGCATTGAACGATGCCCTGGTGGGTAGTAAAAGGAATTTGTGGGGCATAATGGGGTGTTTAGTGGGACACCAGGATGGCTGCCCTATTCTAGGAGGCCACTGAATAGTGTGAGGAGCGAACCACTCCCTGATGGGTCTGGTAACCCTGCTGCAGATCACCTGATAACACTCTTGCTACCGTGAAATAATAAAACTTCATGACATAAGAGGTTGTGTAAGCATGAAGTTCTAGATAATATAACCAAAGGTGTGTGTTGAACCCCAGCGCATAGCACCATAAAGCACATGAATGTTTCCTTGAAAACATTCCAGGAATGTTTTCATCAACTGCAATGCATATCACCTATATCTTCCAAGGGTGTTTATTTAAAACTCAAGCTCTAGAAACCTTTTACACAAAACTTTCCAACTTGGATTTTCTAGGAGACTATTTAGTCACATTAATTCTTTGATAGATATTTTGCGGTAGCCTCTTCAATATAAACACATTTTGCAAAGTGGATAATCTGTTCACAAAGTTAGATTTATTTTTAAAACTGATATTTGATGATACAACTACACAGACAAGTGGTTAGAACAGGAATGCGCCAATAGGTAGCAGACCATTGTGGCTGATCTCTGAGCAAGAATGGAACCTGATGGGAGCAGATAGCAGGAAGAAACCAGAGCAGGGACAAACACTGCAAAAACACATGATGGTAAAAGAATGAGGGAAGGAAGGCTAGACTAGGCTAGAATAGGTCCTTCAGAGAAAGTCACTGTAAAATACAGGGATCAGCTAGATCTGAAGAATGAGCAAAGATAAGCATGTGATGGTTTCTAGGTGAGAAAATGGTGAAATGTAAGACTGCAATAATGTACTTGATTTGTAGGGAAACAGATATATCAATATCAACGCTAGTTCTTAATAATAGCTCCCAAAATACAGGACTAAAGCAAATACAAGAAACCAAATCTAGAAATAAAAATTGGAAAGTCAATGGAATGGTCTAGTATTCAAATACTGAAGAAAGAAAAGAAAAAAGAGAAAAAAGAGAAAAAAAAGAAAAGGGGAAAAAAAGACATGAATGTGTCAGTAGTTTAAACTAGCACGCAGTTTGCCTGGTTGTTGTATCACAGTAACTTCTGAGTCAGCTTCTTACTAATGTATTGGGGAAGCAGCAGATGTTGACTTCTGCAACTTGGATTTGGCCTGTTCTACCTCAGCTTTCTTTCAAATAAATAAATAAATCTCAAAAAGAGTAAGAAGAAGAAGAGATTGGCAGTAATTTAAAACTGTTAAAACCTTTTGGGCATGACCTCTGGAGCATGTCCCACATTGGGAACCCTGGGATGGCGTCAGGTGGCTGTCCCCTATCCCAGGGTGGAGAGGAAGTTTGGAGGACGGATGCGACTTCTCCCCTTATCTGCTCCCTTTCTCCAGACACAGGAAGGAAAGAGAGAGAGAGAGAGAGAGAGAGAGAAAGAGAGAGAGATGGTAGAAATAATGGCTTCACCCACTTTCCTGTAGTCCTTGACCCTTTGCACCCTAATCACCAATGTAAAAATCATCCAAAAAAAGTTGCATTTTGTTAACTGTAACTTAGAAAATAAAAAGAAGTTGTTAAAGAAGAAGAAGAAGAAAAAGAGGAAGAAGGACTTGAGAGGTTAGCATTTAAAATAGCAGCTGAAGTCATCACTTGGAACATCAAAACTCTGACAGGCTATGCGGCTAGAAAAACACCCTTGGATTCAGCAGGTGATTCGAGTACTTGTTACCTATTACCTACAAGGGAGATCTGAACTGAGATTCTAGCTCCTGGCTACGTCTTAACCCAGCCTCTGCTGTAATGAACATCTGAGGGTTAGACAGAAAAACTTTCATCTCTGTCTCCCTCGTCAAATAAACACAAAGAAACAAACTGTAAAAAGTCTTGAAGATACAAAAATTTCATGAGGAAATAGGACAATATTTTCAGAGAGTAAGAGGAAATCATTTATTTACATTTAATTTCCAAAAATAATTCAAAAAAGTTCATCAAAATGTGACATAAATTATTAAAATGTTCTTTATGACATATACTAATTACACATATTTAAAGAGTAAGACATATGTATATAATATGGAGCCATCAAAAAGTGCAGATAAATTTTTTGTCTACCTACTTAACAATTTTATTTTTACATTGAGAGCAGTTACCCTAAACATTAGAACTCCCTCCTATTATCAAACTTTACGTCTACATCTAAAAATGAAACGTTCTAGATTAAGGAAAAGAGTAGAAAAATCAAGCTAAGACATTACAATTCACAGTTCCATATACTTGCTTTAAGTGAACCACAGCTTAGCTGTGTGCTGACTGTAACTCAGAACTCATAGGAAGATGCTTTTTGTCACACAATTCACAATGGTCTTTGGACAAAAAACAGATATTCAGCTGCCACATATATCAAAACCAGAGATGCTCACATACCGAGAGCCCTTAATGAGAACACAAAAAGCATCCTCACTGAGAATCAATCATGTGTTTTATTAGGATATTTATAACACCTCTCAACAAGAAGCTGTCTACCAAAGCCAGAGCTTGATAAAACAGAATCAGTTAGGGTGTGGGTTAGAACAGACAGATGGTATCAGAATTATTCTGTAAGTGCACACATACAACTAAGTTTGCATGTAATCTCAGGCCAGCTCTCTACCTTGATGACCATTCAAATCATACACTAAGAGTGTGATATATACTATATACAGACAAGGGCCACATTCTGAACATACTTTTCATAACTAAACGTATTATAAATATTATATAGTATTAAATATGTCTCTCCATATAATCTAATCTGCCTTTTCAATAAAAATAATAAACCAATCTTTAAAAACAAGCCATTTGAAGTTCTGCCTGGATACCTAAATGAATGAGTAAATGGAATACCATAACTACAACAATTCCGGTTTGAGCAGCAGGTACCAAATACCTGTATTTACCATTAGAAAACAAAACAATCCATTTAATCCAAATTCTATTAACTCAAGCCAATTTGCTTTTACTATGCATTTCTACGTTAAAATTAGGAGGAAATATATAATGCCACATATTCTGGGGTTAGGGATTGATTGTCTTGTCAAACTGATGCCTTTAGTTCCGAGGCAGCTAACTGGAACAAATCTGCAGGAGTGGTTTGATAACAGGGCCATCTGTCTAATAAATTCTGAAGATAAAATTCTATCATCTGTATAAAACTGATCCTTTTTTCTTTATTGGAGGAGGAAAAGGATTTAAAACAAAGTCAAGGAATAAGTGGTCTGTGAGGCTAGGTGAAGAGTCAACAAAATGTGTCATTGCTCTAGCCGACTACCGTTTTGCCTTTCTCAATGCCACCTACCTGGAACATGAACAGCTAACTCTTTGGGTCGGGTCCACAAAATCCCAAGTGGCAGGATTGTTAGCCGGCTCTTCTTCAAGAGTTGGAGTTGATATTTGGCTCCTCCTAAAAATGTTACAAACACAACTTATATATAAATATCAAACAACAGACTCCAAAACTGAATACATTTTACATATTAATGGTATCCTGCTGACGCACAGTCTAGAGTAACCAAACGGAGGGGAAAAAATCCTATTTGTTCCAAAGATTAGACACAGGATTTAAAATATTTGTATGTAAATTTGATATACCTGGACAGCAAACACAGCAATTACAAAATGCCTGTGACTGCCAAGTACTGCCTTAACACAATGGTCACCCAAGGACAAAAGTTTTACATGACCGTTAAGAGTCTGCTTGGAATGCCCAGATTCCAAACTAGAGCACTTGAGTGAGTCCCATCTCTGCTTAGTTACAGCTTCCTGTGAATGTACACTCTGGGAGGCAACAGCAATGACTCAAGTAGTTGGGTTCCTGATACCCACAAGGGACAGGCAGACTCGGTTCCCAGCTCCTGGCTTCCACCCAACCCAGCCATAACGATTGCAAAATTTGGGGAGTCCACCAGCAGCAGAAAATCTACATCACTCAGTTTCTCTGCCTTCTCAATTAAAAAAAGATATGTTTTATTAAAATTTGGAATGATGTAAATACTATATCAGTAACTTATTTTTAATTCCTTCCCACAGCAACTATACAGCATTTGAAACCATGTTTTAAAATATTCTTATCAGTACTGCGTCATTTAATGGCAGCACCCTACTGCTTATGATGTGAACCAAAAGGCAATCACTGATAACTAGTAACCAAAAGAAGGTCTCTATTACCACATCATGAGTAAGAATACAAGGCAACATTTGCATTAGCTTGTTGATTGGAGGTGTAGCTGATGCCTCGCCTACTTGAGGGTCCCCTCTCCCTGCTCCTAAGAGGATGATCTTAAGAGGCAATGGGGTGTTAGAAACGGCAGAGGGGTAATCTACTGATGATAATATAAGCAAAGATGGTAAATCCAAGGTAAGAAAAAGAAAATGTTGACTTGAAAAACAGGCATGGCATATAGAAGTAAAATATCTATGTCAATTGCTCTACAGGAAAGAATGCTTTTTTGAGTAATACCTTTTGATTCTACAATGAGACATCTTTCTTTCTACAGTTACTCAGATTTTACATGCTGCAGCATCAGTGATTTATTCTAGAACCAAATTCATTGGACACTAAATATTTAGTATTAATTTGCTAAGAGCTATGTCCAAACGACAGGTTTAAATCTCTATATAAATATAAACTTTGAATAGCAGTCACTTAAGGAACATTTAATTAATTTCTAAGGGTGGGCTAATAGCAATTATTGATGAGAGTGTTCACACTGGTTCTGTTCCAGACAATCAGGACTCATTTGTCTACTTGCCATTAAGAAAATAGGCATTCATATTAAGATAAATATGAAGCCATGGATATGTTTATATAATCCTGACAAGCAGATAAGCATTTATTGACCACTGTTTATCATTATAATTTTGGTAATTAAGTAATCACTAGCAGTTTTTTTTTCTTAGAATCAATTTTTACTGTATTGCAAAAAATACATTAAGGAAGACAGGAGAAAAGGAAAGGGAAGTTAAGGAAGTAAAACAGTGGTGTTGTGGGGATTGGCACGGTAGCACAGCAAGCTAACCCTCCAGTGCACCCCAGCATCCCATATGGGTGCCAATTTGAGCACCGGCTGCACCACTTCAAGTCCAGCTCCCTGCCAAAAAGCCTTGAGTTATGTAGAAAGAATATGGTTCTCCAAAATTTATAAACAGGAACATAGCAGCTAATAAAAACTAAAGCCAGTGAATAAAGTTTCCCCCTTTTATAATTGGGAAGCACTCATGAATAGTTATCCAAAAGAAAATAACATTGCAATATGACCCTTTCAGGTAGCAGACTGGTTACTAAACTGCAATATAAACATAGCTCAGAAAACATACTTGGACTGTCTTCTGGTGAGGATGCATTCCTTCCAGACTCGATGGACCATATGATTGTGGAGTTTTTGAGGAATCTTCCCCGATCTCTTTGGACTGTGCATAGTTATCATCCCCCCATCTTGGGAACCTAGGTGACTAGCAGCACTCTGAGTACCTCCACTCTCACCTGGGAAGGAACAACAATTTGGAAGGTTGGACATTTCTGAAACAGAAACAACTCTAGTATAGAGACTTTGACACAAACATCTATTTTGAGGAAACGCATATTCATGTGGTTTGGTCCTTTTCACCAGCAATAAAACTACAAAAGGCTTCCCTACCTCTTAGCACCCCTGGCACATTATCTAGTCTCCCTAATGCATTTAATCCAAACAATAATCCCAAATACACAGACACATACACCGTTGATTCTCACATACTGAATGGAACATACAAGCAAGGGCTCACAATCTCAATATTAAGGATGCAAATATGCATTTAAACTTTTCAAATCCCAAGGCAATAAATTTCCAGGCAGAATAAACAGCAGAGGGAGCTTAATGCTTATTTAGCTCGATGGCTATATCACAACAGCAAGCACAGTGCCCTGAGTAGGAGACAGAACTTAAGGTCACCAAGGTCAAAATGCATGTAAAACTCTGTCCTTACACTTCCCACTATTCAGGAAAGCTTAGCATTAAAATACATAAAAGGTTGTCTTGACAGTTTATATCAAAGGATTAAAACATCACTGGTTTCTCTCTAATAAATCTATTTAATTTCACCAGCTGTTTCTTTCTATACATCCCCCATGATTCCCGACATTGTGAATATTTTACTATTTCCATCCTAAACAAGACAAATACTACATTTCTCAACACTACATTCTGATTGATTTTTCATCTATGAGTCAATGAATGATTTGTGGGTGTTATTCTCAACAAAACTATGATACAGAACATTTTGATTTAAATGGTCAACTAATGCACTCAGAAGAAAATATTCTAAACTGAGTACAAAGCAACCTTATAGTACAAATTAAATATTCTTGTCAGTAATGTAATGCAAAATCACTACCTGAGCTAAATGGGGATGTTTAGACTTGAACAAAACAAAACTAAACAGTGCTGGCGTGATGGTTCAACAGACTAATCCTTCCCCCCCCCCCCACCCCCGTAAGTACTAGCATCCCATATGGTTGCCAGTTTGTGTCCTGGCTATTCCACTTCTCATCTAGCTCCCTGCTTCTTGCCTCGGAAAGTAGTGGAAGAGGGCCCAAAGTCTTGCAGCCCTGCACCTGCATGGGAGACCCTGATTCCAGATCAGCTCAGCTCTGGCTGTTGTGGCCATTTGGGAGTGAAACAGTGGCTAAAAGATCTTTCTCTCTCTTCCACTTGCACTTCCAATAAAAATAATCAACAACAAACAAAGAATGAGAAAGAAAGATAGAGAAAACCCAAATGTTTAGCTTTCTAAGGAATTAAAATGCCACCCCCCCGCAAAAAAGCATTATTACATTACCTCGTACAAAACTGGAGAAGTGAAGAAATAAGCAGAATGTAACAGAACTATTCCCCTCAAAACACTCAACAAAATTACTAGAAATACTATACACTCACAACAGTATAAAGGAGTAATTTATTAACCAAAGGGAAGGGATACAGATTATTGTGATTAAAGTTAGGCTAAAATTTTCCATTAGCACTAAATTAAACTAAGTAACTAAACTAAAATGTGGTATCGAACTTGGAGCTAAACAAGACTGCAATTCCAAGCATTTAAAAATACATTAAATGTTGCCATTCCCATTATTACCACATAATAAACGAGAAGAGGCAGGGAATGAACCTATTAACGATTTCACCAAAACCATTTGGCCTCCCAAGTTTCCTCCCAATCTATTAGACATCTGACAGTTGTAGCAGGCAAAATAATGCATTTGAACCTGCATCTTCAAAAATATGGTAATACTCATCACTTCTCATCCTTTTGGCTAAGATCAAGTGTAAAACTATGATAATATTCAATGCTGCTCAATTGCAGAATGACAAAACTAACCAAGATTCTCTCTGATGCAGTACAAACAATCCAATTCTAATTCAAAACACTACAATGTGAAAATTTTGGCAAATCAGATCTTTTTCTACAAAGATACTATCACCTTTTACTTAGCTTTACTGGTTCATCTGAGAGGAATGAGGTACTACCAGAGTATTACTTGTACAAGTCAGCAACGACACTATTCATTGAATTAAGTGGGAATTTCAAGATCTACAAAATCCCCATGGAATCCTCCCACACAGGGACTAGCACAAGGGCACAGGAGCCTCAGTTAACCCTCCCTGTGCTAGTACTGAAATCCCATGTGGGTGCCAGTCCCTGTCCTGGCTGTTCCACTTTCAATCCAGCTCTCTGCTGATTGCCTGGGATAGCAGCAGAGGGTGGCTGTGGTGGGAAACCCAAAGAAAGCTCTTGGCTCCCAGTTTCAGAGCTCAACTCTAGCTATTATGGCCATTTTGGGAATGAAAAACTTCTCTGTGAAACTCTGCTTTTCAAATAAAAATAAATGTCTATTTAAAAAAAGAATCAGAATTCTGAACTAATCAGAGGCTACCTATATACAAAGCTTTCAACTTTAAACAATACGTATTTCAGTGTGGGTCATACAAAACAGATAAAAACTGGTTAACAACGACAATATAATGCAATTATTACACATCCAAATCTTGGGTTGGTACTGTGGTGCAGCAATTAAGCCTCAGTCTGCAACACCAGCATCCCCTAGGTGTCAGTCCAAACCCTGCTGCTCTACCTTCAATGCTAATGCACAAGGAAAACAGTGGAAGACGATGTAAGTGCTAGGACCCCTGTCATTCACAGATGGAGTTCCAGCTTCCTGGGGTCCGCCTGGCCCAGTCCATGCTGGTGGCAGCCATATGGGGAGTAAACCCGTGGACAGATAAACAAATCTCTCTGTTTCCCTTCTCCCCTGCACAGCCTCCCTCATACTCCATAACTCTACTTTTCAAATAAGTAAATCTCTATTAAAAAAAAAAATCTGAATCTTAACACAATATTAAAAATTTTCAAAATACTGATAATTACAGTCTTTGTCTTATGATTATAAAACTGCCATTTTCCCACAATAAAGTGGAAAAATAGGCTAATGACAAATCCTATCACAGGGGATGCTCAGAAACCTCAGAGTCCTGTACCTTCTCTCCACCTCCTCATCAACTACATCTTTTAAAAACAGAAGCACTGTCCATTTCTGTCTCCCACACAAGAGCTGAGTAATTGCTTCCAGATAATGTGTGCTGAACTTGGGAGTTTTGAGTACTGCTTTAAAATGTTTAAGCTACCATTTGTGCATCACTTTGCTGTTCACAAAGTACTTTTAATACACATAATAAGCCTGCAAATTATTAACATGAAAGGAAACTGAGGTTAGAAAAAGTGTGAGAGGTACCTAAGTCATTCGCCTTGTAAAAGATGCAACCAGATTTTAAAACCTGGTGCATTTGATGACAAAGCCTACGCTTTTTCCCGGTATGTTAACTACAAAAAAATACTTAGTAAAAGTCCAGTACATGCCAAGAATTGTGGTGGAAACTTTGAAATATTATCTTATCTAATCCTCACAAAATTGTCATCCATGAGTGTGCCATGCTTAATAGCTACGAAATTACCATCCTTGAGTGTGTCATGCTTAATAGCTTGTGTTAACACTCTGGCAGCCAAGATGTCTTTACTCTAGGTTTCCTGCCAACATGACCCCGATTAAATGTCTATAAATAATCTCAATTCAGCTCAAGTATGGTGAGTCTTCTTTCCTTGGTGAGCAAATTTCCAATTAAAAAGAGGTCAACTACAAAAGCAAAGTTAACACTGGAAATACACAGTAAAGAAGGGACATATTTTCTAAAGTCAAGCAATTTTTGAATTTTTCCACTCTGGAAAATGGTTTAAAATATCAAAGATAATATTTACTAATACTAGGGATGGATTACTGATAGGGCCAAGCATTTGTTGAGAGCTTTTGGGTGATGCTCTGGTTTGCTATTATAATAAGGAAAAAATTAGTAGATCTGCTGTTAGCTAACAATGGTCATTTGGAAAAGGCTTCAGCCAGTCTCAGATTTAGTGTTCTCTATTTAATTTTTAAAAACAAGCAAACCAACAAACAAACCGTTTTTGTTCCTACCTTTGTGTGTGTGTATATATATATATATACATAGGCACACACACACACACACATACATATATAGGAACAAATATGTGTGCACTGCTAAAGAGAAATAGCTAAACATTTTAATTAGAACCAAGACTAAGAAGAGCACAATTAAAACAATGAGGCATAAAAATTGCTGAAAAGTCTTCCTTCTCCATTTAAAAAAATTCTCAGTTGACTCTACCACCCTCACTGTGTTCACTGAAAAAAAAATCTCACGTTTTTTCAGCTCTTCCATGACAGGATGACAATACCATGTTCCGGAACAGGTCACACTCACCTATGACGGCCTGCTCTGGAGAGGTGGGAGGGGTCAGAGGCAGGCCACAGTTACTTGGATCCTTTACGCTACCAACGCCCGGTTGCCCAACTGTAACGTGGCCCCCAGAACTTCCAACACTCTGAGGAACTGGGATGTCATTCTGAGAGATCAAAACAAAAGCTGAAGGGTAGACCATCCGAACACCACCTGTAAGGAGGAGGACCAGAGCCAAGTCTGAGAGAGAGTTCACGTAAGACTGCCAGCCTGGGTATCCCAATGGTCAGGATCAAGTCCCCAGGAAACTAAGATGCTCAGGGAGTAGTCAAAAGTGCTACATTTCATTCTTCCCTAAGTTAATAGCTCTTTAAACATGTGTTCCGACACGATGATAATAGCATTTGGAATACAGGGACCATTGGTGCTTTAGGCAAAAAAACTACTCGGCATTCACCAATGCGTCCTGAGAATTTCTTTTAAAATATGAGGAAATTATGGAGATTGTTCTGATGAATTGGCATGATTATCTTTTTAAATTAAGGGAAGATTCAAAAAGACAGGAGAAAATTCTTCAGGCAAAATATTTTTTCTTACCAACAATTACTTCAACTGCCACAGGGAAATCATCATCATATCCCAATTCCTCCTCTTTCAATTCCTCCTTCTTTTTCAGCACCATCGGGTAAAAGTACTGCCACTCCTCAATGAGCTTGCGGGTGGCGGGGTCGGACATCTTGTACGCATGGCCCGTCAGCGTGCCATTTAAGCCGTAAGGACTTACCAGTACTGTGCGAGGAAGGAGAGACGCGTGCGACACATTAGATTAAAGGAACACTTCTTACACAACTGCAACACTATCTGTGTGGTCGTGCTAAGTGAAAGCGTAACACAGCATAGCAAAGTATGTTCTTATCTCCTAACTCCTTTTCATGTGTAATTTTCTAAAGTTTCTTAGTTTAAAAATCACTTATTTCTTCTCTAACTCATATCTGTTTCTGAATGTAACCAAGTAAAGACAGTATTATGTTATCAGACAGCTATATATAATATACAATACATGGACTGCCTGCACCTCAGACATTATTTGCAGAATAACTGCTTCTACAGTGTAAATGCCAAATCTTCCAAAACAGATGGAAGATATTCAACAGGTCTACCCTGAAACTAGTCTAGAACACCAATCATGAGAAAGAAGGAAGACAGCGTCCCAAAAAAGTCTTACATGTGATCTCAAGCATTAGTGAGGCGAGGACTTTAACTGCCAGGCTACCATGCCGGGCTCTAAAGCAGCTGTTTGTGATGTCAGCACCATATGGGTGCTACTCCACTTCCAATTTAGCTCCTTATTAACGGTCTGGGTAAAGCAGAATAAATGATACTTTAAAAAGTTTTTCAATTTCAGTAATGGTATGAAAAAAGATGCAAAAAAGATTTATCCAACCTAATATTATAACATCTAAAAACTGCTATTCATAGAAAATTCTGAAATCCAGAGACACAGTCTCTTAGAATTCCCAGCTACTGTGCGTAACGTAAATTTCAAATACTAGAGTAAAAAACAATCTATAAATCATTATTATGTTTCTGAAACTTTGTTAGAACAATAAAAAAAGCCTTCATGAGATTTGGAATTTCTCACCAGATTATACTTACTCTTGTAATATTTATTGTATTGTTCTGAAAGAAAATCTCTAAATTTCATCCTTCCATAATTTCACATATAACATAATCATCTGTCTTCTACATGACAAACTGCAGGAAAAAATGTGGCAATCTAACACTACTTAACACTACTTGACTGTAAGTTGGTAAGCTGTAAAAACTGGCCTAAGCTTTAAACTGTCCACTTGAGAAACCCCTCCTGCAAAGCACTGCTGGCAACCACAACCCACTCGGTGGGCGTGGCGCGGCGGAGGGCAGGGGGTCATCAGAGAAGACTTACCTTGAAATGGTGCGGGGGAAGACTGAGCCATGTGTATGTGTTCCTCGTTGATCAAGTAGATGGGCTGGTGCTGGGCAATCTCCACGCTGGTGCATACGTTACTTTCCCCATGAAGAAAGAATGTGAAAGCACAGGACAAATGCTCACTAGAAAAGAAAAAAAGGGGGATTTGATTTATTTTATTTTTAACGGAAAGTCAGATATACCAAGAGAAGAAGAGACAAAGACGAAGATCTTCCATCCACTGATTCACTCCTTAAGTGGCCCCAACGGCCGAAGCTGAGCTGATCTGAAGCCTGGAGCCTGGAGCCTCTTCAAGGTCTTCCACGCAGGTGCAGGTTCCCAAAGCTTTGGGCCGTCCTCTACTGCTTTCCCAGGCCACAATGAGCAGCAGGGCTGCCGGGATTAGAACCTGCTCCCATATGGGATCCTGATGCATACAAGGCAAGGACTTTAGCCGCTAGGCTATAGCACCAGACCTGTATCTTTTTTAAAAAGTAAAGTTCAGTCCTACTTTTCTGATCATCTAGCAAACCAGACACTTCATTGTGGATAAAACAAACTTCTAGTTGATTGTGGACAAATAATCTAACAATAACTTGTTGAGAAATCTAAAAATTAGACAAGCTACATTCTAAATTTTTGAAAGCTATAAAGCAGAATGCTTTGATTTTAATTTGGATAAAACTCAAATATGCCAACTGTAAACCAAAAGCCACATTTTTCTACTATCTCAATGCTTCACAGGTCACAAGCACTAAAAACTGGGTAAAGACAAATAAATGAAGATACATCCAAAGGGCTGTTATGAAAAAGTGGCTCACATACAAGATGGAAAGCCGAGTCCTGAGGTGGGGTGAAACATCCACCGGTTCTAGGGGTGATGCCTGTTTGCTTATGTCTGGTTCCATACAGCAATAAAGTTTACATTGCAATAAGGACGAACCTGATGATCTAACGAGAGTAAATAAAAATTCCCAATACACCAATGTTAAGGCCCTAAGTGGGTGAATTATCTATCAAACTTAATTTTTATCATTTGCTTCTGCTCACAAATTTGATTGAAGTGTTCCACTCCTCCATTTCCCACACAATTAGCCCAAAAAGGATAAAATCAAAGTTATGTGGAAAGAACTAATTTCAAAATTACAATAGGAGTACATTTTTTAGACTTTTCTTTCCAATGCATGATATGTCTGGCACATATTATGAAATGCATACACTGCAGTGCTGGTGGACTGGCGGACTTTGCAGGTGGAGGCTTTAGTCGAGAGGTTTGCGCTGACTCATCCACTCATGCACATTACCCAATCCTACTTAAAGAAGTCAACAGCATCAGTAAGGTACTGATGCAGAGCGCAGGCCTGGAATGTTCTCCAGCACCCAACTGTGCGGAAGGACAAATGAAACCAACACTCACTAACAAACATGTACATAGAAGGGTGTGAGACCCGCAAAGTGACACTGAATAAAATATGATCCCTGTCCTACAGGACTATATGTGCTAGTGAAGAAGTGATAGGAAAACAAGAAATTTTAAAAATCCAGGCACAGACCACAAATAAATAAAATGCCATAAGAAGGCAAACGTGCTTAAATTCTTCCACTTGGAACGTACAAATACTTCATAAAAACAAAGCAGGGATCCAGTAGCAGAAAAACACGATGTCAGGCAAGAGGCAAAGGCATGGACATACGATGAGGGAGTGTCAGATTCCAGAGGAATGGAAAGGAGTTGAAGAAGCAATCAAAGCTATTTGGTTCAAAGGTCATCTGAATCTAAAGAATTATTATGAAAATCTCCAACTTGTGTCCAATCATGTGCTATATCCCTAAAAATTTGAGAACCATAAATGAAATAGTTAAGAAATGAAATCAGTTTTGAGAGGCAAGATTGGCAGCAATTTCAAAACTGGTGACCTATTGAAACCACTTGAACGAGCATCTCGGAGCATGCCCCACATGCGGGACTTGGGGCGGGTGGGAAACCGGGTGGGGCTTCTCCCTCAATATGCCCCTCTATCTCAGATATATGAAGGAAACAATATGGAAATAATAGTCTTACCCACTTTCCTGTAGCCGTTTACCCTTTTTGCCCAAATTAACTATGTAAAGATTGTCAAAAAAAAAAAAAGAAATGAAATCAGTGACCTACTTTGTGTATTGGAAATTCTGAAAACCATTTTTAGAGCAACGAAATAAGAACAACTAGAAGTTATGCTGGAAATACAGCAGAGGACACCAGTACTGACATACAATTTTTGCCAAGTTCTGTTCTCTCTGATCACAATTCCTCATATTTAAAAACAAACGTCAGTACGGACTTCTGGCTCCCCACAGGCTCTGATCTGGGAAGTCAAGCTAGGCACCATGAACTGGTACTTCTTTAAATGATTTGAAGAGGCACTCATATGGAATGATGGGGCCACAGTCATTATCTTTCCCAGATGGGCCACAAGGCATTTCTAACAGGTTCTCAAGTATTGTTGCAGCTGCTCCTGGCACAATGACTTCTGGATATGACAGTATCTCAATTCTTTTTCCAGCTACTAAATTCTTTTTAATCCCACAATATTACATGAAAGAATAAGTCGGGGATAAAATTATCTCCAGAAACTAGAATTCCTCTATGATCTAGTGACATCACTTTTAAGAATTCACTTCACAGATAAAACTACTCATCAGTTATTGATCATATAGTGTTTATAATGAATCCTTAAAATATAAAGACCCAACATCAGCCCCAGTTACTTAGCTCTCTCTTTCCTTTCTTCTTTCCATGCAGCATCTAAGTTTTCCTACTTATTTTGCAAACAAAGCAATTACAATTTGCACTTTCTCTTTCTTTTATCTGGAACTCCCATCTCCTCCAGTATCAACAGGGCTCTGGACCTCATTTCCTCCAAGTCTTTAAAGAGGTTACCATTCAGGCTCCACAGGATAGCCTAAAAGCTAGAGTTCTCACCTTGCACGTGCCAGAATCCCATACGAGCGCAGGTTCTAATCCTGGTGGCTCCACTTCCTACCCAGATCCCTGCTTGTGATCTAGAAAGCAGAAGAGGACGGCCCAAAGCCTTGGGACCCTGAACCCACGTGGGAGACATGGAAGAAACTCTGGGCTCCCAACTTTGGATCAGTTCAGCTCAGACTGCTGTGGCCACTTGGGCAGAGAATCAACAGATGGAAGATTTTCCTCTCTATGTATCTGCTTTTCTAATAAAAATAAAATCTTAAGAAAAAAAAGTTACCCTTCAGCCTCATCACATACTTGAAAGTTATCTTCCTACACACAGTTCCCTTCCCCATTTCTGTCCTCACAGCACTCATTACCCTCCATTAGCATCCCTAGCACACTCAGAGACATTGTGCATCTAAAAACAATTTGTAAACTGCAAGTTGGGTATAAGTGATTAAAATTTCTGAGTATTTCAGATTTTGCATTATTCTCATAGACTTTATCAACTGACCATCTCTACACCAAAACTATTAAGGTTCTGATTTTGGAATGACCTATGTTGTTCACATTACAGTCAGTCAGCCTGTACCAAGCCCTCTCATAACATGTTTGTTTACTTACTGGAAATACAGAACTTAGAGGGAACGAGCGAGACAGCCAACAGAGAAGAGGGAGAGATGGAGACAGGTGAAGAAAAAGCAAACAGGAAAAGGAACAGGAAATGGGGGAGGAGAGGGAGACAATGACGGGGAAAAGCTGATGGAGTCCAGATGTGATTGTGTGTGTATGTGTGAGTTCAACCGAATTTTGGTTTTTACAGTCACATTCAACAATTAATTGGAAAACACATTTAGAATGTTATACAGGCTTGTTCTATCATTTTATGCCTATCAAATTTTATTTTTAAACAATCAGTATGGAAATTTTGAAGAATAAAACAAAGACCAGAATATATATCTGGAGTTTGCTTACAAAAATGGCATCTTAAGTGCCCCTCCAAAAACATCAATAAGGAGATAATCACTACAGTAATACATTATTTTTAAATATCTCAAAGTACATATTCAAGCAACCTGTATTCTCTGGGCTGGAAAGGAGACTAGTGAAGAAGGAAAAAGGAGATGTACAAAGCACTGGGACATTCTCTTCAGCAATGCTTTCAGGAATTTGGTTCTTTTTAATCTTTCTAGCACGTACTGTAAGGTGTATGGTTGTATCAACTTTCCTCAAACACACTGCCGATTTACCTTGCTGGTCTCCCCGACACAATGCGAGTTCCAGAGAAGAGGAACCGTGTCTGTCCCTGCATCCCACCAACTAACAAGGCATCCAACAATGAGGAAGAATGCAAATGCTGCAGCAATCAAAGAATACATTACTTTTCTGATAAAATCCCATCATGTGGATAATGGCTAATGCACAGAGTGAACAGTTTTTTAATGGCAGGTTTAGTTATTAATAAAAGTATTCAGCCCGGTGCTGTGGCCTAGTGGCTAAAGTCCTCGCTTTGAAAGAGCCAGGATCCCATATGGGCACTGGTTCTAATCCCAGCAGCTCCACTTCCCATCCAGCTCCCTGCTTGTGGCCTGGGAAAGCAGTCCACGATGGCCCAAGACCTTGGGACTCTGCACCCCCATGGAAGACCTGGAAGAAGCTCCTGGCTCCTGGCTTCAGATCAGCATAGTTCCAGCCATTGCAGCTGCTTGAGGAGTAAATCAGTGGACGAAGATCTTCCTCTCTGTCTCTCCTCCTCTCTGTATATCTGCCCTTCCATTAAAAATAAATAAATCTTAGAAAAATAAAAGTCCCTATGTAATTTCCAGTTATCATTTAAACCTTTTAAGAATATTTATTTAAGAGCACAAGGGGTTAATTAAGGTTACAATTGGGGTAGCCAGTTACAAAAATCTGCAAAAAATGCAAACAAGGAAAGACCATTTTATTCTCTTACGATTGTAAAATCTAGAAGAAAAAGACATTTCCCTTCCTACACTGAGTTTCAGAATGCAACTATTGTAAGTGCTTTCAAAAAGCACTATGAATATTAATAAACTAGTTCTTTTCATGGTGTAAAAAGTGTTTTGATAACAGATTCACAATGCAGAACACACTGGGATGATTTTATCTAAACGCTTTCTGTATTTAGAACTTATCAGCTTCAAGTTTTCCAAGTTGTCATTAGCCAAACCT